TCCCTCCGCCATCGAGGGCCAGTTTCCAAGGATCTTCTTTGTTTGCAGAGCCTCTGGGTGAGTCTGTGTGTCAGCACATAATCCCGAAAAGTGAACTAACTTGGTTACTAGGAGCTAAACATGCGCCTTTTGCAACTGGTCCTGGTTGGGGTGCTCCTGCACCCTTTGGTTCCCCTTTCCCTGGTGTTTCTACCTGGGGAGTAGCGACTGGTGAGCATCACCCTTAAATCGCTACTAAACATGCCACTAACACTTATGTAGGAGGGAGTGGCTGGGCCCACAATCACAACGCCTTTGCTGCCGGCGGTCATCATCGCGTTCACACGACTCGGCCTGTTACAATCCGCCTTCTTGTGATTCAAGCATGCAAGCACCTCAATACGATCAACCCCCAACCGGGATCGGGTGGCTACCATGATGTGAAGGCGGTTCTCAATCAAGTTGGACAGCTGCGCCCATCTAGCGAGCCCGCGATTTCACTCGGTGAGATGCTCGACATCTGCGACACGGAAGGTAGCCCTCAGAATGGCGGTGGGTCATTCTCCATCAAAGAAGATAAGAATGGCCAGTACGTCAAGTTTGAGCCGGATACCAACAGTGCGATGGGTGGCCACCGGGGTAGCATTGTACCAGGTGATATCGGCAGCCCAATCCCTGGAAACAGCAACCCTGCTGCCTTTGGCGGACTTGGCGCGCCCTCTGTATTCAGACAGTACTCCTCTCCCCCGACTGGACTGTTTGGCGGGACTTCCTAATTTCGTCATGATCAGCGAACGGTCCTCGTTTTCATCATGAGCCTGACTTCGAGTTGCAACCTCGGTGACCTTTGTCTTCTTACGCACTTCTTTCCTCCATCTGGAAATGATCCCTGAAATGCCCCTTTACCCTTTTTCCTTTTTCTCTTGTCTCTTTTCCTTTTCCGAATTGAAGCGTCACGGATTAACGTCTCTCATCCACACGTCCTCAAATATTTGATATGTTTTCGCTGCTATGGGTTTCATCTGATCGGGTTTTCTTTTTTGAATGTGTCCAAGTTGGAATGACTTGGACTGGGGCATCCGGGCTTGCTATTGTGTATGGTATGATCTACTTTTTTACTGGCCTTTCTGCATTATGCAGCGATATCCGTGGGGATTGGGTCAATCTCCCTCTCCATCTTTGTCCTTGACTCAATTGCATGATCGAAGGTTTCTTCTTCGTTCCATATTCCCTGGTCACGTAAACATATCCCTGTAGATCGAACTTTGAATATCCAAGTCGCTGTTTTTTTACCTTCCGCCCGATCGCATCCATGGATAATGGTGACGCTGCGATGCAGTTGTTTAGTACAATAATACTATACTAGTACTGCTGATGAGCTAGCAGAAACACCCGGGAGGAAGGTCAATATTTGGATGGAATGCAAAAAATGGAAGTTACACTTCAAAATAAAGTTCGAGGGTATGGAATTATCGAGAGACGATGGTACAGTTGTATATACTCAAACGAAAAGAACAAAGCATCATGGCAGAGGCCGGCTTCCAGAAAGAAAATAGACGAGACTTCAAAAGAAACAATGAAAAGGTTAGCCAAGGGAATTAGGAACCAGATTAACTGAGACCAAAATAGCCCTTCATACAGATACAATGGTCTTGCACCCATGATAAGAGAGTATCATTCCGATTCAAAAAGCCCGAGTCCATCAATCAATTGAATCTAGACGAAGAATGACACGGGATCTGATTTATTGCCGTTCTGTGACAACACCTTCGTAATCTCTAGAGCGGATGTATGCCAGCGTACGCTCAAAATGACGCTTGGGACCCTCGAGATTAGGATTAGGATCATCTTCGCTGGTTTGCAGATTGGAGTGGATAAGCTCAATGAGACCATTGAGATACTTTGTGGTGACATTCTCATTTTGTTGATCAAAGTAGTAGACGTAGCGGTTGAGAATCTCGACGAATAGCTCGACGGAGACAGCGTTGTCCATGCAGGCATCGGCAACACGAAGAGCTCGTTGGAGGCACTCCAAAACACGCTTTCCGTCGCGATAGAGCTGTTGTAGTGTAAGTATCACAATCGAAGATGAGCCAGTGGTGAAGGGCCGATCACTTACGTCCTTAGGTTCCTCTTCCTCGCGCTGGGGATTCTCCACCACCCACCAAAGGTGGCTTGCAAGATAGACTGCCCGACATTGGTCAGGCTTCTTGAGCAGCTTGCTTCCGTGTAGAGCGGTCTTGGTGATTAGAGTGTCGTAATTCTCTTTGCAGAAACCACGAGTACCTTGCAAAGCACCGGCCACAACACAGACAGCCTGGAATTGAGCACGAGAGTCGCTGATGGAGTCCTCATAAATGGTGAAGGCTTGAGCGAAGAACTCGTAGCTGACCTCCTCAAAGCCTGTTTGGTCGGCAACTTCACCACACATCACAAACAACCGGAGAGCCAGGTCTGCACAGCCTGGGTTCACCCGCTGGTAGAGGTTGTTAACGCATTGGTGCATGAATCGATAGAGAACGGAGGACTGCGATTGCCAGTTATCGTCGTAGTGTTCACGAGACTTTAATTTGCGAGCAAGACGGATAGAGGCTGTGACAATGGCAGGTGTAGTGTATCGAATGCGCTCATTGCCATCGCCATATGCTTTACGCGTGGCTTGAAGCAGCTGCCCAGGACATGTTAGATGTATAATAAATGCAGTGATGATAGTTCTCAATATCTTACCTTGAGTTGGGTATCATTCTCCGGTGCTTGGATCAAGTGTACCAATCTTGCAAGCCAGCCTTGCTCCTCGATTGTTTCATCCGTTTCTCCTCCACGCCGTTGGGCCTGTGCTCCGGGATATCCTGCAGATTGCTGCATGCCCTCTTTAATCAATACTCTTGAGACTTGCAACACACGATCGAGATTTTCGGTAGTTGTGATAAAGATTTTGTTCTTCAGGAGACTCCGAATGATCTCGCCAGCGATAGATCTCCGGGTGGGATACGACTGTGATGTCAAAAGCGGCAGATAGTGTGGCAGAGCCAAGGCCGTAAAGATAGAGACATATGCACGGAGTGGGGCGTTAAGGAGGTGAAGTATGTGCTGTTGTGTCGGTGCTGAGTGCAGATCGGCGTGATCGGTGTACTCGGCTGTCTTTTGAGTAGCGAAGTCAAGGACCTGGTCGACATACTCTAGCTGTCCTGGGTAGATGTTGAGCGCCAAGTTGACAAGAGACACAAGGAGGGCCATGGTATCTTGGATGGGCAATGCCCGCGTCTTGATCAGGTTAACGACCTGTTCATAGAAGATATCGTACAATTTCACTTCTGCAGGAACTTCGGGCTTCTCCTCTGTCTCGTTCTTGCTTTCATCTTCTTCCTTTGCTGGCTCTGGTGTCTCTTCTGACTTATTCGTTGCCTCGGTGCCATTCTCTGTGGAGGGTTCCGTGGCAGCAGTCTTTCCTGATTCGGTCTTCTTCGTCTCCTTCTCGATTTCCAGTTTATGTAACAATCGAGTAACAGCTTCCTCTTCATTTTCCTTCCTCGTATCTGGCTCGGCATTGGCATCGGAATCCTTTGTTGCATACGTCGACAGACGGTCCATCAATCCAATGACAATTTTCTTAAGATCGACGTGCGGGTTGAGCCGGGCGATGGCGGACAAGAGCTGATCAAGAGTGTGAAGATGGAATTCATCTGGGAACACTTTGGTGATAACTATTGAACCAGTCAGTGGCTGAGTACTGGGCTGGACTCCAATTCGAGGCCTTACCTTCCAAAAGATATTCCTGTGCCAGAACGTCGCGGCATTGCACCACCTGTTCTAGAAGTGCCTGTAGTATGCCTGTCTTGTATGTTTCGAGATCCACCAACTGGCTGAGACGGACAACATTGCTGCCCACAAGCAACTCCAGCTCGCGTCTCTCTTGTATCCGGCGCTCGCGTTCTCTCGAAGGTCCTTGGTGCTGCAGCCGGACCCAGAGCTTATTCATTTCCACAAAATTGGTCAAGACGAAATTGATCGAGTCCTGCAGATTACCCTCTGGGCCATCGCTGGTGCCCGAGGGGAGGTAGTCTCTCGCCTGTCCGGACAAGTAATATCGCAGGAAGAGGCCACGGATCGGGTGCTGCACACCCCGGCTCATCTCCATCATATCTTTCATAATCTCCTTGACCGGCGCATCCTGGACTGACATATAGACCGTCCCCACAGTGATCATCAAGTATAGGCGTGGAACGATGTTTCCAGCATATTGCACAAGTTCGTATAGATCCGCGAGGTGGTTGACCGGGTGGTTCTCCTTAAGGTAGACGGAGAGGTGTCGCAACGCATCGAAGACCGCCATGTACAACTCATAGTACTGTTTTGGGCCAAGGCTGGGGGTTCGCAATTCGGAAACAAGGGTTGATCTGTGGTCTTGCGCCCCGGGGACGCATCAATTAGTACGCGGGGGGTCATCATCGCGCAGACACCGGAGATGGCTGCCTTGGGGGGGTAGAGAACAGCTTACCCGCACTTGAGCGCATCCATGAGCTTGCCAGGAGTTTCTAAGCATTTGCGCATCAGGCCTGACTGTTGCCTCACGACTCCCAGGGCCTCCTCGAGGAGGCGGGTTTGGTCCTCGGCGACCGGCGGTGGGCTGGACATCGTGGAGAGCGGATGAGGGGGAGCTGTGGAAACAGAGCAGGCGATAACACCTGGGGGTTCAAAGCAATTGTTCAAGCCGAGAGAGACTTCAGCACGGGCGCTCAGAATGGCAATTCATAAAAGAGAAGGAAGGGTGGGGAGAGCGAAGGAGTTGAGGAGTTAGGAGTGGGAGTGGAGGAAGAAGAGGATGAAGTGTCGAAGTTCGGAGTGTCGGGGTTACTAACTAAACTCACAAAGCTGAGGTCTCCCCACAACGTCACTGCCTCACCTCTTCCTACGAGTACACCACCACTACACCACACCGGACCCTCCGTTGCAGATTGAACATGTCAAACCACCTTGAAAGAATGTTCTGTATCGTGCGTCTTTAATAATGCATTGAGATCCTACATGAATGAATTCTGGCTAGGAGTTTGTATTTTCGTGAATTTGGTATAGCAAGCGGAACAGACTCTAAGCACGTTGGGGAATTCAAACATGGAGAACCGTCTTGTATTCACACCAAGAAGACCAAGGAGTGCCCGCATATTGGACTCCTCCAAGTCAACGAGCGTAAAAGTGGCATGTGCGTCAGCTTTATCGTTCCACAATTCTTGAAGGCCGAAAATTTCTTCCATCGCTCGAGCGTTGTTCCTCCAGGGTGGACTCTGGCTAGCAACGGTGCAAAACAGTACAAAGCGCTTGTCGCATATCAAGCAAAACAGGGTACCGAACTGGAGACGCTTGGAAGTCTGCCACCAGATCTTCCGATCAGCGATCGACATGGCACTCAGTTTTCCCGGCTGTGGAAATGCTATCTCAATCTGTAAACCCAAAAACTCATCCCACTTGACCCTAGCAATCCTTGCGTTATTGTAGTGATTGTGACGCAACTGTGGAGTGCCGGAATGGTATGATTGCGAACTTTCAATGAGTTGATGGACTGCATGCCTCAGCTGGCCAACACCGTCCTCTCGCAGAAGTCGTAAGTTTCTGTCCAGTACGCCTTCAATGCCGGCCAGGTGCCACTGTGTTGGGTCATTGAGGGGCAGATACTCTGCACGTAGACTTGATATCTCCTCCGAGCTGGGAAGGATCTGGATTCGGCAAACGTCAGCATGGTCGTTGTCGTGACGACCTCCAGGGCCATCCCAATTGGAGATTAAAGTGGCCTGCTTGGGAGCTGGAGTTGCGGAGGATCGCCTTTCTTTTCTCTGGAGTTGCTTTCAGCAGATGCTATCTAAGTTAGGAATGCGAGCAGCAAAAAATTGAGTCATGTACCGACCTGGAAGATGACATTTTGAGATCGAAGAAAGAATACGAAAGTTGTAGAGGGCCAACTAATCCAAAGAATGGGAAGAGGGACGGCAGGAACAGAGACAGAGACAGAGACAAACACCCCTGGAGAGGGAGCCCTTCCGTCCATTCACTGAGACCGTAGGTTTTGACCCTTTTTTTCTTAACCCCCCCCCCCGGCTCAAATCTATTTTTGAATCGTGAGACTCATGGAGAGCAAAAGCACCTGGGCATATATACTAGTGAAGTTAAAGTAAGAGTGTATATAGAGCAAAGTAGCAACCAGTATAAGGCAAAACCAATATATTTATAAGCTTGAAGCAAAGCAACTTGAACCTTAGAATGCTTCCTACAAAGCAAAAGCTTAGAGATTAGCAAGATAAAGAGAGCGTGTTTGTAAAGAATTCTTGGAGAGCAACGAATACAGCCAAAGACTAAGATCTTAACACAGCATATGCTGGTTTAGCTTTTTGTTGAGATTTCTCAACTTCTTAGACCTGGAAGTTAGCTACTATGTCCATTTTCTGACTAGAATACTACAGTTCCTAGTGGTAATTCTGGTAGGTTGAAACTCCGCTTCAAGCCCTTTGAAGCGCACGAAAATTCTCTATGGCTCAAGCACACCGGCCTCTGATAATACGGAATAGTTTTTCTATCTGAATAAAAAATCCTAGCAAATACCGAGGAGCTATTCTTGAAAATAGATGAGCCTCAAAGTTACCAATCTCCGAATTACATAAGACCAGTCCAAGGTTCATGACCACTGTGTGATAACATATAACCTTTGGAATACAATGGATCGTATTTGAATAAGCCCGGGCCATAAACTTGAAAGCCCCGAGCTTTGACGGAGAGAGAAATATCAACTGAGGGTACTCTTCAGAGCTTGACTTTCAAGAAAATAAAAGACGCTCTGTGCATACTTCTATCTGGCTAGGCCTAGACTAGTCCCTCCTTTTAAGTCGAAGCCAGTATTTTCATGGTCTTAGTTAACGAAGGCTCAGAAAACAAAGATGTTGATAGAGCATGTCGGGATGGGATCAGCTTAGCTTCGGCAATGCGCTCAAGAGCAATGATGTAACCCATTCCGACTGGATACTCTTCTCTGAAACCGATGTCTCTAATCTTATCCAAGCACATTTCACGATCTCGATCAAGCATGACGAACCCAGACTTCATGAAAATCCACGATGAGGGTGGAATATCACGGCGTTCCAGTCTGTATGTCTTGTACATCCGTCGGTAGTCAGGTTGGTGATCATTCCACCACTTCTCAAGGTCTTCCCAACCTTTTTCTCTGGGGCCGGTCCCCTTCAATCCAAAGTAATCGGCCAAAATAGGCTATTTCACGGACCAAGGACCAGGTACGTCGGTGTCGGCGATATTAAAAGCTTCTCTATTAGCCTTCTCGGGGGTTTCAACCGAAAGATAGATCTCAGATTTGGAAATCAAGTCCTGAGACGCGTCTGTGAAGGTATGAGTGAAGTTGTTTCTGGTTCCGGGGAAGGCGATGTTTGCGCCCGGTCCGTTGACGAATCGGTAGAGCGAGAGATATAGTGCCAAGGGCTCAACAAATGTCATACCAGTCACGTTAGGTACAAATCCTGAATATAAATCAGCGAGAAACCTTGGTGACCGATAGAAAGGGAGTATCTTATTTACCAATGATCTGGTCCGGGCAAACTTCGCACCAATTCCACGACTTCCCCATAGAAGCCTCCTTGATCAAGTCCACTTGTTCGTAGTAAAATATCTCATCCCCGTAGGGAGATGGAATGCGAGGATTGTCTTCTCTCAAGGGAGGATTGATTTCAATTTTGTCCTGGTGCTGGAATACTGCCACGCCGTAGTTCTTGAAAGGTCAGTCTCTTTTATGGTATATAGAGCTAAGAAAGCTTACATTGGTGCCAGTCTGTAGAACTAGAAACTCTAGCTGGCTGCAAAGTGTATCGGTCGAATGGACGGCATTGTAGGTCATATTTTTTGTTGATGCTTTTGATGTCCATGACATTTTCGCTGTATGCAGTGGCGTTTGAATATGCTATTGTTTTCAAAAATGGTTAATAAATACGACACATGGAAGATAAACGGTTAGATAAAACCCAAAGAGCCACGCATACCACAGTAATACACATGTGTGACCTGATTCAGGTTGGGAACTCGTTCCTGCATCTGCCTCTTAACAGTATCCAGGTCGGTACGGAGATCTACCCCGGAGTATAGTTCGAGATGCGGGTCTTGTGGTAAGCCGCTCTCGACAATTGTACGTGGGCGATGTGTCAAACCGATCACCCGGCCAAAGATTGTAGGTGTAGGATAGGAGAGCAAGTTTTTAGCTAGAGCCCATCCAGAAATGCCACTGGCGCCAAAAACCAGCGCAATTTTCGTAGTCTTTGCCATTTAGATACGTTTGGTTGCGATCTCGTGGTCAAACTTCAAGTGAAAATTGAAATCAGCCTCAGATAGGCATTGCTTTCTTATTTTAAGCCTAGGGTTCTTTAGGTAAGCCTACTAAGGCCAATAACTAAAAATTTGTGCACCGTACCTCGTTATTTTGAGCCCCGTGCGGCGTGGATCTTTCGAAATAACAGCTTGCAACTTAACCTGATCGCGAGTGAGTGAGGGCCAAGGATGAACCACTTGTGATCGGTCAATCTGTGTTTCGATGGAGTAGTACTAAGGATTGCAAGGCTTTCGTGGCCCACCTTCGGAGCCGCCGTCGTACATGTCTATGAAGTAGCTGATTGGCCCTCGGAATTATGGGTGGGCTGAATGGGAAGAATACATAGTACGAGGTACGTGCCTCTAAAAACCATAATTTTGCATATGGGTTCCTCGAACTCAATAGGAACGCAAGTGCTTGACGCTCTTATACGAGAACTTGGAGCATTGAGTAATTCGAATTGGACAAGAGATTTGGAAAGAGAGTTGGAAGGGGTCCCAAATATGACCCCTCACAAAGCTCGTTGATATCATCGGCTAGCAACCTCGCTTGTAGAAAATGGAATAGTATGTGAGTTCCTGCCTAGTGGCTACCTATATGGGTAGTTGATCGCCCCCATCTCTCCATAGAGTCGTTATAGCACAAACAGACCCGAGCGGATCACCAATCGACCACTTGACATTTAGCCTACAGGGTATTTGCTTCCAGTCATAGTTAAAAGTGACCTCAAAAGCTCTGCTGTTTGAAAACCAAACCGGGAACTTGTGTAGCTTTCAATAGTCTTTGGACGAGCAATATAGAAACTGGGCACGTTCCAAGCCCCACCATAGGCTTGGCATCTGTACGCAACTGTATGGAGTAATTACTACTACTCCGTAGGGGATTTATGGAACTTGGAGGCCAAGCTGCTAGGCAGTGCTTTCAATGTCATTGATTTCGAGTTTCGCGACTGCAAGCTATTGCATTGCAGACATTCGCTACGAACCCCACGGGGAAGAATGGATTCCAATGTAGACAGCAAGGCAGTAGAAGATTTCCTCAAGTTTGAACTTATAATTCGAGTAAATGAACATTATATACACACACACGGAGAACGGCGGCATAGGATGAAATAAAACTCCGAAATCGCGATACAACAACCACAATGCATGTCTGATAGAATCCCCCAACGAGGCAGCCCGGGGAAGGAGAGAATCAGGGAAACAACGAAAACAGAACCGAGCATCTCGTCTATCAGACACCGCAGAATTTTTGCCATGCCATTTTCAACCAGGGCGATGGTGTGGTGTTTTTCTTCTTAATTTTTTTTTAAAAAAAGAAATTGATTTCTTCCTTGTGTTAAGGAAATTCCGGGTTCGATCAGTCCCAATTGCTTTTGGTGAACCGGCCAAGAAAACGCCATGGATATCAGTGGGAAAAAATAAATGACGGCCAATATGGACAGGCATCCAGGGCGGTGCGGTTAGGATGCCAGTTTGCCTAGCGTGCTTTAATCGCGATAGTTGACGGCGAAGTCGACGTTACGCTTGCGCATAACTTCCTTGCGGTCCTTCTCCTTGGCTGTGAGGATAGTTAGTAATTGAGTTTCGAAGTGGAATTTTGGAATCACGAGTTTGTCTTACCTTCGTCGTAGACCAGGAACTCGTGCAGACCATGGCCGGCAGGGACCATGGGCAAGACGGGAACCTTGCGATCGGTGATGACCTCCAGGAGGGCAGGGCCATCTTGCTCGATGAGCCATTTCAGCTTGGACTCAAGGTCGGAGGTCTTGGAGACGCGCTCAGCAGCGACGCGCATAGAGCGGGCCAGAGGAACGAAGTCGGGGTTCTGCTGGTGAGTGTGGGAGTAGCGGTCCTCGTAAAACAGGTTCTGCCATTGTGTGACCATACCCTGCTCCTCGTTGTTAAGCAGGAGAACCTTGACACCGATACCGAACTGAGCAGCAGTGGAGAGCTCAGTCAGGGTCATGTTGAAAGAAGCGTCACCATCGATATCGATGACCAGGCAGTCGGGGCGAGCGACCTTGGCACCGATAGCGGAGGGCAGACCGTAACCCATCGTACCAAGACCACCGGAGGTGATCATGGTACGGGGCTGGCGCCAGCGGAAGTGCTGAGCGGCCCACATTTGGTGCTGACCAACACCGGTGGTGATGATGGTCTTTTCCTTCATGTCGGCGGTCAGGTTGCTGAGGGTCTCAATTACGGCCTGAGGCTTGATGGGGCCTTCGGCGGACTGGCGTTCGTACAGAGACAGGGGAAACGAGCCTTCCAGTCGTTAATCTGTTCGAACCACTCAGTGCGCTCCGGAACGGCGTTGACCTGAGGCAAAAGAAGGCGGAGGTTATCGGCGCAGTCACCCTCAACAGCCTCGGTGGCCTGGACGACCTTGTTGATGTTCTTGGGCATGATCTCGAAGTGGACGATACCACCACGGCCCTCAGAGGCAGCTAGCTTAGCCTGGGGGGGCGAACTTGGGGATGCTACCAGTGACACGATCGTCAAAACGGGCACCAACGGCGATGATCAGATCGGCCTCCTGCATGGCCATGTTAGCGTAGGCAGAGCCGTGCATACCGAGCATGTGCAGAGACTTGGGGTCCAGCTCGTCGAATCCACCAAGACCCTGGAGGGTAGTAGTGACGGGAATCTGGACCTTGTCCGCAAGCTCCTTCAGGATCTGAGGGCCATCGGGGCGGGCAAGAAGACCCTGACCAACGTAGAGGACGGGCTTCTTAGCTACGTTGACCAGGCGGGCGACGCGAGCAATGGTAGAGTCAAGAGACTTCTTGCTCAGCTCACGGGCAGCCATGGTGGCAGCACTGGGGAGAGAAGGAATGGTGCTTTGCATGGGAATCGGGTTGCGGAGAATGCTGGCGGTAACATCCTTGGGAAGGTCAACCAGGACGGGACCGGGACGGCCGCTAGTAGCGATCTCAAAAGCCTCCTGGATACGGCGGGGAAGCTCTGCAACGGACTTGACCATGACATTCCACTTGGTACAGGCGCGAGAGATACCAATGACATCAGCCTCCTGGAAGGCATCGGTTCCAATAGCGCTGGTGACGACCTGACCACAGAAGACAACCATGGGGGTACCATCAGACATGGCATCCTGCATGGGGGTAATGGTGTTGGTAGCACCGGGACCAGAAGTGACGAGAACAACACCGGGCTTGCCAGAAGCACGGGCATAGCCCTGGGCCATGTGACCGGCGCCCTGCTCGTGCTTGGGGAGGATGAAGTCGAAGTGTTTTGAGTTATAGATGGCATCGAAGACGGGAAGAATGGCACCACCAGGGTAGCCGACTGTGATAGCAAGGTCAGTCAATTAGATCAATTGGTAGGCAAAAGTAGGGAATATATGATGACTTACAGACGTGCTTAACGTCAAGGCGAAGCATCATTTCGTGGAAGATTTCACCACCACTCATCCCAACCATACTGTGTTACGTTAGCCTCCCGGGTCCATTGAAGTGGTCCGCAATTGCTTTGGTGCTGTGGCATATCGAGACCAGGATGGGTGAATCGAAAGACACCTACGAGTCATCGAGCTCAGGGAGCTGGCGGGTTTGCAGCGGAGAGACCTCATTGCGGTGAGGTTCTTGGTTGAAGGCCGGGCTGGGAGCAGGTCGGGAGCCCCTAAGTCAATGGTGTCAGTAAAGCTAGGGTGATTAACCACCAAACCTCCGACTTACGAGGTCGCGGTCGCCGTGCTTTGGGTCCGTTTCTGAATAGAAGAGCGGTGGGGCGACGCAGCCGAGGCCACGAACGAGGTCGAGAAAGGCCGACGGGCAGAGATCAGCTGCCTCTGGAGGTGAATGGAGCGCCAGGCGCTATTTGAAGGTCTGAGAGGCATCATCATGACCAACGACAGCCCAGGGAGTGAGTAGAGAGGTACCGCGAGGGTAGAGAAATGATAATTGCCCTTGCCGTGAATCTTCCTGGGGACGAAAATCGCCTTAAACCAAAACCGACCGCTCTGACTCAAATTTCGGTCTTTCTGATTGGTCCGTGTTGCCTCCGCCCTCCGACCTCGGCGAGTCACGTGTGTCAGTTATCGTGGCACGTGACATGGTCCGATGCTGTGCAGATAGAGTACAGTCATACGAGTACATACTAACTATGAGTAGCAGGTTAGCAGGTTAGCAGGTAAGCAACCGTTTGGGAAGGAGATTCCGTAGCCAGCAGCGTGGTGATCGAGATTATAATAGAACACGAGTATGAGTAGTACTCGTCACTCGTATTAAGCATCCAACACCAGTGGATATCCTGGTCCAAGGTTAACCGGGTCATCCATTGCCCGCCTCTGCCGATCGTGTTTAGCCGACATGACGGGTATTCTGTCCATAATTTCTTTTCCCGAGTGCGATGTGGATTGTCATCCCGATTTCTACGGAAAGCCGGGCGGGCGAGCCATTCGGCCCGATGCTACAGAGCGTGCAACTGTAACCTGCAACCTGCATTTCAAGATGCGAGTATATCAGATCTCGTTAGGTCTACCTTAAGGTTGCCAGTCCTGATAGTAGATAGCTTCTAGCAGTACGAGTAACCTTGAAAGTATTGGGTCAAACTTGAAATATATCAGCTTCCTTGAGATGGAGTAAATTGTGTACATATAGTACACTAAGTATAGCATGACATAGCATCACCAATTTGAACGCCACTGACATCTCCTGGAAACTTGAACAATGGACAATGGACCAAGGGCCTCTGCGTCCCCGCAAGGTCGACTGGAAAGAGACACCGGGGATGAAACCTTCCCCCACCAAAAGGTATTTTTCCGGGGACTTTCCTCGCGGGGCTTGGCTGCCATCATTCTTCCGTTTTGGGTGATAAACCCCCGCCATTTTTTCTGGAGTACTCTGTAGTCTCGTACTAGTACCACCACCACCACCTTTGCTTTCCCTCTCTTTCAACTTCTTTCTTTCTTTTCTTTTCTTTTCTTTCTTCCCCCCCCCAAAAGCAAAATATTTACCTCGCCATGTCTTCCCCAGAACTGGTCCCGCAAACCGAGTCCATCGCCGAGGTTTATGCCACTGACGATGCCTCCGTCAATTCGGTTGCGCCGGAGCACCAGCAGCGCTGGTCTGCTCTCATTCAGCAATTCAACAAGCAATATAACCACCGTCCCGATTTTGTCGCTCGCAGCCCCGGTCGTGTGAACATCATCGGCGAGCACATTGATTACTCTCTCTACGATGTCCTACCTACCGCCGTCAGTGTTGACGTGATTATGGCCGTCAAGGTCACCCCCGCTGCCGCCTCCGGCACCACCATCAAGATTGCCAATGTGAACCCGGAAAAATTCCCCACGCGGGAATTCTCCGTGCCCCACGACTCCGATATCGAGATCGACCCCAAGAAGCATGAATGGATTAACTACTTCAAGGCCGGCCTGCTTGGCTCCTTGAAGTTCCTGCGCAAAGAAAAGCCCGATGGCACACTCGTCCCCGCCAGCATGGAGATTCTGGTCGACGGAAACGTTCCCCCCGGTGGTGGTATTTCCAGCAGTGCCGCTTTCGTCTGTGCCTCTGCGCTGGCCGTCATGAAGGCCAATAATCACAATGTCTCCAAGCAGGATCTATTGGATCTGGCTGTTGTTTCGGAGCGCGCAGTCGGTGTGTACTCTGGCGGGTTAGTATATCGAGTCTCTATTTCGATTCCACCCTTTCAAAGAAAAGAAATTGGACAACCGACAAGAAAAATGCTGACCAAATGAATTTCTACAGCATGGACCAAGCTGCCTCCATCTTTTCCAAGCGCGGATACCTCCTCTACACCCAGTTCTACCCCGCCTTCAAGGCCGAGCATGTTCCCATTCCCACCGCCGACGACGAAATCACCTTCCTCATGGCCCAGAGCTTCGTCACCTCTAACAAGGCCGATACTGCCCCCCGCCACTACAACCTGCGTGTCGCAGAGTGCACCCTTGCCGCCGTGATCCTGGCCAAGAACTTCGGCCTCACCCTCCCCAAGGACAACAGCTCGCTTGGCTACAGTTTGCGCAACTTCCAAAACCAACTAATGACCAAGGAAGGCCGCCTGGGCGACCCTCTCGAGTACCAGATTGACTCCGTTATCCAGGCCACCCAGGACCTCTTCACCAAGGAGGAGGGCTACACACGCGAGGAGATGGCCCAGCTCCTCGGCACCACAGTCCCGGAGCTGGAGTCCAAGTTCCTCTCCGCATTCCCTGTCCAAGCTGATCGTTTCAAGCTGCGCCAGCGTGCGCTGCACTGCTTCAAGGAAGCGCGCCGGGTATTGGATTTCAAGGCTTGTCTTGCCAATGCATCCAAGCTCGATGAGAAGCGCATTAAGTATCTGGGTCAGCTTCTGAATGAGTCGCAGGCGTCTTGCTTCGCTTCATACGAATGCAGTGCTCCCGAGGTGGATGATATCTGTGCTATCGCGCGCCGTGCGGGCACATGGGGTAGTCGTTTGACTGGTGCTGGCTGGGGTGGTTGCACCGTACACATGTTGCCCCAGGGCAAGGTTGAGGCAGTGACGACTGCCCTGCGTAACGAGTACTACCTGAAGAAGTTCCCCGATATCAGCCTCGAGAAGCTGGAGCAGGCTATGGTTATCAGCAAGCCTTCCAATGGCTCGTTTGTGTATGTTTCCCCCGCCCTCTCCGCCCCTGGAGGTGGCTCATTATTTTGAGTTCTAAGACTAATGCTGGATTCATTTTAGGATTGCCGGCGCTGCTATTGAAGGGGTTGCTCTCTGAATTGCATAAGATATTTCCAGCCTACTTTCGTTGGTCTGCAGATTATAGAAAATCTAAACTCTTTCAAGCCCAGATCCTTCCTTGGTGTCCTGTTGCACGCTTCGTGAATTATTTGACAGTAAATCTGCAGGTTTTGACAATTGTATTCGGGTTATGCAGGCTCCGATATCGCATAAGTCACTGTGCCTGCGCATACCTTGCGGCGGACATCGAAGTGCCAAGAAGGGAGCACCGTTCTGCCGTTGACCCTACAAGGGGTTACTGCAAGGTACGCTTGGAAAGCTTCGGCGTTTTGAGACGTTGCGGCGGTCGAGACTTCAAAACTGTGAAGTACCGCAGTTTGGTAACGCGCTGCGTTTTCAGAGACGCGGCGCTTGTTTGCTGCATAAGGGAGCGCTGTTGGGGATGGATTGCTGATCACATTATGAGAATCAGGTCTTCTTTCTAGCGGCAGCCTTCCCGAAAAAATCGCTCATCTTCTTCATGCCGGTCGTGTTGACCTTCTTGAGATCTCGAATGCCACGAGATTCCATAGCCTTGGCCTTTTTGTCTTCATCATCCTTCTTGCGTTTCTTCTCCGCGCGAGACTCCACCTCCTCATCGTCCAGACCACGCTTGCGACTGAAATCGGTCAGCGTACGCGACGCAAGGGCTTCAGCGCGGAGCGCAGCGATTTCTTTGATGCGATCTGTCAGGGGCTTCAAATCCAGAGGGCTCTCCGGCGATGCAAGCATCTCATCGATTCGAGAGCAAAGGGAGGCCGGCAGATATGAATCTTTCATGAACGTCAAAGCAGTGGAGACTCGTTGCAAGTGAGCGATCTTGTCTGAGGTAGAGTTGTCCGTGGGTGGCTGAGGAGCTGGTGTCGATTCGCCTGCTGGCGTTGACACGGACGGCGTCGCAGACGTAGCCGCTGTTGACGGAGAGTCCTGTCCCTCCTCTGACTTGGAGCTTGCATCTCCATTGGAAGGTACCTGACCAGTGAGGGCATCCTCTCGCTTGACCGACATGAGTGGCGGGGCCAATGGCTGGCGAACGAAACGCTCTTCCAAACTGGCAGGTAGCCCTTGAGTTGCCAATCGATCCGCCTTTGCGACCAGTTCATTGAGTAGCTTTGCTTCGCTGAAGCGCAGCATCTTCTCATCCCCAGCTTCCACGGTGTCACAAATCGCTTCCGCTCGTTTTACAAGGGTGTTGCGGAAGGTGTCATCATAGAGAACATTGCGGAGATGCTGTGGTAGGTCGTCGTTTGAATCGATGATATCATCCAGTGGTTGGAATAGCGATTGGCCTGACTTAGCGGTGGCATTGAAGAGGGCAATTAAGAAGAAAATAGAGTCAATTGGGGTTGCCACCAAGAGTTCGGCCTTCTTTGCAATTGAAGTTGTTTGAGTGTCGGTCTCTTCGTCTGGTGACGCGGTGGTCGTTTGACGCATGCGAGGAGTGAACAAAATGCTGCGAGGCGATGTAGTAGGCGAGGCGACCACAGTAAACTCGTAGATACCGCGCTCCGGACAGAAAAAGTAACGGGTGAGTTCGCCCGACTGGGGGTTGGGAAGGGAGAGCAAGCGCGCATTAGCACTGGTTGAGGATGGCAGGATGAAAGTCTTGCTAGGCTTTTCAGCAGTGGTCAATTGCTTCTTCTGTTCGACCTCAGGCTTTTCTTCAGTAGCCTTTGCAGGCGCAGATGCTCTTGTGCGAGGCATTTTGAGGGAGGGGGGAGGATAATACTGTGGAGAGGGAGAGAGGTCGGCGTAAAGTACTCATCTGCCCGTCGGGGCGCACCTTCTGGGAGACGCGCCTCGACGCGCGCGGATCGGATCATGTGATTCCTCACATTCGCAAAGCCGCCCTTATTGCCAATCCTAGTTGATTTCGGAATCGAGCCTTTCGGGATTTTCCACACCCCTACGGACTACCAGAGCTGATTATTTACGACTGGCTTTCGCAACCTATATCTTCAATTCGTGCGCGTGGCCGTTGAAACGGCAAGAGCAGCGGGGAATGACGCTCCGTGGTGATCGCTTCCTATAAAGATACCCGAGTCTCGACATAAAAGTGAGTCTTTTTCGACAACTGGAGGGGGAGAATGGTCTTCTAACTAGTCTCTCCTTCTCTTCTTCAGTGGTTGACAGCGCGTGGCCCCCCAAGTCACCCCGCGACGCCCTCCTCAGCTCGCCCGGGGGCCGAAGGAAGTACCAGGACATGCAACACCGCCGAGAACTTCAACCATCTCCCTTGAAACGCTCCAACACCACTCCTAATTTCCGATCAAAAGCTAGTCAAGTCTTGGATGAAGGCGAAGACGAAGTTGAAGATGACGGAGAGGAAGAAGACGAAGAGACCCTTCAATTGCGACTGGCCGAAATCCAGGCTCGTCTCAAGCTAAAGCAACTGCAGAAGAGCCGAGGCCGATCCGACAGTGCGACTTCTTACATCGAAGAGGGCGAGAGTAGGCGCACTCGGCCAGCCTCTGCACTTGCTTCATCTTCACGGCCCCTCTCCCATTTTTCCGAGCTGAGAAGCCCACAAAATAAACAGCAGAAAGCACGCACCGATGAAGTTCAGGTTCCGGTGTCGCCTCAAAAGCGAGAAGCTCCCGCGCCAGAGCCTTGGTCTCCGCGAAGGTACCAGATGGGCATTGACAAAGGCTGGAAGGCAAACGATGTGTCGCTTAAGCGACCCCCGCGGCCAACGAGCCAACTCGGAACGAGAAGTGGCGCAATATCCCGTCCTGCCGATGTTTACTCGCCCAGGCCACAAACATCGCCCGGGGGTGGAGGGATAAACAGAATAAAAAGTTTCAGTGAGCGCATGGCGGAAGGTCGAGCCTCGGAGAAGTCTCGCCTAGAGCGAGCAGAGAGAGCGGAGAGAGTCCAGGCAAACCGAAGCTCAGCATTCCAGCTGAATGAAGCTGAGGTTGAAGCATTCAAGATCGCGGCTGCAAATGAAATGCCACCACCTGCACAATCTACTCATCGGCAACCGGAAGTGCAACAGTTTAGCCGCGAGGAAATCATGCAGTCTCTTGCGAAACCCGGAGGCATAAAACGAAGCCAAACAACTCCTAATCTGAAAGATCCCACCGGGTCGAACAAAAAGCCATCTAACGTGCGTCATCATTTTACACAATCAGGAAGGACATCGCCATACAAAGATCTCAGTCAAGATGAACAAGCTGCTGGAGAAGCTACCAACCAACCAGACTCTTCTAAATTCGAATCTTACTCCGGCATGCACCTGACAAACCGCATTCTACCTCATTCTTTCTTGAGCCGCAACTTGAGTGACAAAAAGGTTCTTCGTATACCCGATCTACTAAAGATGGTCAAGGCACCATCCTTCGAGCTTCCCGAGGAGATTGATACGGACTTTGTCGTGTTTGGGATACTTGCATCAAAGTCTGATCCGAGGCAGATCAAGACACCGGCAAACAGCACCAAGAAGGAGGTGGATCCCTACGACGAGGGACACAATAATACCGATAAATATCTGGTCTTGACTCTGACCGATCTGAAATGGACTATCGATCTCTTTCTCTTTGAAACCGCCTATACTCGCTACTACAAAATGTCGGAGGGGACTCTCGTTGCGATTCTTAACCCTACGATCATGCCCCCTCCAAAGCATAAGTTGGATACAAACCGGTTTAGTTTGTCTTTGAATTCTTCAGACGATAAAGTTTTGGAGATTGGTTATGCTCGGGACATTGGCTACTGCAAGGCCGTACGGAAGGATGGCAAGAATTGCCAATCCTGGCTGGATGCGCGGAAAACTGAATTTTGTGAATTTCACGTTGACATTCAAGTGCGGCGCACTCAGGGCAAGCGCATGGGAGTCAACTCCAACACGGGTTATGGCCCCGGTGGTCGATCGGGCTCACGGATCGTAGACGCGGTGGATAATTGCAGTGGCTCCAACCCTACGAGCTATCGAAGATCTTCGATGGGTCGAGATCCTGACTCCAAGAAAGACTTGAAAACCCCCGGCGCCCAATATGATGGAGAATCCCAGTCACTTTATTACGTGGCGCCAGCTGCCAATCGCGGTAGTCGTACATCATACCATCATGGCGCTGCGAACGGATCGGCAGCGGCCCTGATTGACGCTCATGACGACCCATTCCTTGCTTCGGGCATGATAGGGCGCGGCCAGGAGAGCAAGGAACAACGAATGCGGCGACGCTTGGCCACTCAGAAGCGTGAACTTGACATCACACGCAGGCTTGTCACAAATCGTGCTGGCCCTGGTGCAGATTATCTTCGAACCCGAACTGGTAACGAGGCTTCTCAAGAAGGCGAGACGCCAAGCACACCAAAGTCTCAACCCGCAGATCATGGTTTCAACCTTTCTACCCTGGGAATGGCAAAGAATGTTCGGTTGAGCCCGCAGAAGCGTGCTCATGGCAAACCACATGGAAGCGGCGTCAAGAAAACTCGGTTCATCACGTCAAAGGGAATTAGAGAGGCTGGGCGAGAAAGCTTAGGAGCTGGAGCTGAGGCAGCCCAAGGAGGAAGACGGGTTTTGTCAGATGATGACGATGATGAACTGGATATTATTTGATACCAGAGAAAGCTGTGAAATACGGGAAGCCTGTATTCTATCCACTATGTCCTACCCTAACGCGTCACGAAATAAAAGAGGCTCTTTCGTCCCATGCCATAGGTATTGTAAATAAAGGGCGGACCCGTAGAACAATGCTGTTTAAAGTCCAGTTACCTCTTCTCGTAGTTCGCGATAGTTCGCCCCCCTCGTTTCCCATTCCATAATTCGCAACTTTGGTTGATATCGATGGATCCGTTCATCTGACCAACCCCTCTGATGCAATATGCTTCTGATTAGAACAGTCATTCATGCATATAGTTCTCTCGGGCGATATAAATGGACCGCTTGAACCGCTTGGGCTATGAGCGGCCATCGGAGCCGGGCCAGCCAAATAACCCGACTTTGGGCAAATACGGGATTCCAAAATCGGTCGAAAATTATGGTTTCAGGAACCATATTTCAAAATCAAGGAGCGACATGGGTAGTATCGATTTGATGACGAGTGGTCGAGCGATGTAGACCATGTCAAAATAACCTGAAAATGAGCCACACTAGGCTCTAGATGCATTTACGCGCAGAGGAGATGATACGAAGAAAGCGAAAGGAACAAGTAGTACTACTACTCTTGCAGTATTGTGTAAGACCATCATGAGAGGGTTCATTTAAATTCGGAATAGTAGTTACCTCAACAAGTCTGTTACATATGGAACCATTTCCTTCAACAAGGACAATAAGACCAATAGAAACAGAGCAACGATAGAGTAACCACCGAGAGAGTGACAAAAAAACGAACCACTATGAGCCCAAACGCCTCACACCCTGTCATCCCAGAAAGTCCCAGAAGCACATGATACCTGGTATCCCATTTTCCCACGCTACAACGCACGCGCCGGAGGAACAAAAAAAATAAAGAAGCGCACATGAATCATTATGGATAGGAGCAAATCGAATCGCAAAGGAGGACGGAAGAAAAAGGAGTAAAAAAGCCAAACCAAAAAAAAAAACATGAGTATCTGCAGCAAATCGCTGTGCTGTAATAATGGTTGCAATCCATGCTCCAGAGTGAGAAAAGTAAAATGCAGTCACTCGGGGTGGTAAAGGAAGAATGCAGTGAATGGAAGGATAAGAAGACACCGCTCAGTCAATGCATCATCATATGTTGGATATGCTGGCTTTCTGAAACAGAAGATCATATGAACTTAATCAACGACAAAGACATTCAAGCGGACTGAGACTCGGCGGCCGCGCGAGTGCTTCGAGTCTTCTTAGGAGCAGGAGCATCCGGGCTGCCAGAGCGCAGGTCACGCTTCGTAGGAGAGGTACCTTGAGACACGGTCTCATCGGGCGTGGGCTTCTGGCGCAGCCAATGATCGAATGGGCTAGCACGCTTGCGCTTGTTATCAGAGATCAGGGCTGTGGCCGTTGGCGTCACATCAAGCTCGCCACCGTAGCGAGCAGCTGAACGAAGGTTGCGGGTACCGCCGGGAGCTCGAGGAAACTCTGGAGACTGGGGAGTGTAGGGAGACTTGGACCCCTTGTGTAGGACCTCAACCTCAGCATGGCACTCATCGTCCGTGGCTTCTTCCTCGATCGGAATTTGGGGAGCTGCCTGGGGCTTTGGTGCAGCCTCAGCAAAGAGGCGACGAGGTCGGATAGAAGAGCGTGTTAGAGACTTCACTCCGCTAAGATCGGCGTCTTGCAGCAGATCAGGACGGGCGGCGAACAATCCCAAGTCGTCGCCCTCGTCACACGATTCTCCAAACTTGTTGAAGACCTTTTTGCCTCGACTGGGAGAGAGGTTGTGTTAGTGACTGTATTTTCCAAATGATTCCATGGAAGGTTAGCTTACAAGATCATTGTCATACCACCAGCACGGGCGATCGCATCATCCTCGGCAAAGTCATTATCATCACAGCTGTGAAGTCTGTTAGCATTGAGTGCAAATGACAATGGGGATAATTTGCGGCAAACTTACTCTGTGAGATCATCGCGACCATGCTGATCATGTTCATCGTAAGGCTTATACCACACATTTCCATCGTTTGGCTTGTCCTGTTTGCGAGCACGCTTGCCAGCCTTGGGTGCTTCGACAGAACCAGAGGACACGGTTTCTTCGATCTTCGCATTAAATGGAGTTTCCATATCGGTAACTGGCTTAGGGATCTTGTCACGGGAATCTGTGTAGATTTGGATTGTCTTCGACGCTGGAGCTTCAAAGCTCTCCAGCGACAAGGGAGTGGACTTCTTGGGGCGTGCCGATGATTGCGTTGGAAACAATGTTCGAGAGGCAGATGAAATATCGGAAGAAGAAAGTTTCCGTTTGGAGGGAGTTTTTGCAGGGGTGGGTAAAGCTTGATTCACCGTTGGGCGAGATTGGGGGTTGGGCGAGTGAGAGGTGCGGGAGGAGAGGTCATAATCGTCAAAAGCAATAGACGGGACCGAGGCACCCGTACGTTTTCGAGTATATGATTTGGAACTTTTGCCTGGCGCAGAAAACATCTCATCCCCACCAACTTCTAAGGTCTGACACTTTCGCGCAGCTTGCTTCGACCGGGCCTTATTAGGAGAGTTAGGGCACACAGGTTCTGGAGTCTTATCGGCAACTCTTGATGTCCGCTGGTTGGCAATTCTGGCTGAATATCTGGTCGGATATGGCTCATATTGATCATAACCAGAGCCATGACGAGGCGCGGCTGGAGTACGCAGAGATGACGGCGAGGGCGGAGGAGGAGTTGCAGCCATGTTGAACAAATGAATTTGACGGACGAACAAAGACGTTTTTTCGCGCCAAATACACACCTTTTACAGTGGTTTTTTGACAAGGGGTCGAACCAAGAGTGACACGGAAATCGGGGTTTGCGCTGGGATGAACTGAAACAAGGGTGGGATGATGTTCGAGGAATCTTTCGGGATTGATGATGAGTTGGACGATAATTCAAGAACGAAGGAATTCGAGTATTTGACACAAGCGACACAAAATATCAATGCGAAGACACGGGTTAGAGAGTTGCAGAAGGGATTTGTGAAAAGAAGGGATGAAGTCCATTCAAGGGCGCGGCATGTTTTGGCGCCCAGAACGAGGTGGCTGGTCACGAGGCGGTGAAGAAGCTACCGCCTCATTTCATTCGCCCGCCCCGCGATTCTACTTGGAGTACCACTACATGTACGGAGCACTCTCCTCGTACTCTATTTTGGATTCACCGCAGAATTTCCGTGGGTCCTACCAACAAGCTTCCTTCCCATTCGTCTGTTGGTTTCAGGGGAACCCTTTGGGACCAAGGTTGGGCCGACATTGCTGTCCCTGTCTGTTTGTTGATTTTGCTTGCCAATCCTCGACTTCGCCAACCAGAACCTTCTCACATACCTCGCGCCCCTCCCCCCCACCACAAATTTGGCATTTTATTATGGCAGTCCGATCTACCGCGGAGGAAATGGAGAGGCTCCAGCTCTCCGATGAAGATACCGAGGACCTCTGGGATTCTCCCTCCAAAAGGCAAACACGCCAGACCTTCAAACAACGATCCTCTGAAGAGCACATTGCTCCCGAACCGCGGCCAATCCAGGATAACAGCGACAATGCGTTTGATCGCGAAGAGGCCCGTGAAGTCACTCTTCACCACGAGCTCCAAAGTGTGCGAAACATCAACGAGGTTCTTGAAGGGTTACTTGGGAGTATTGATCGGGCCAAAGGAAATATGGAGGTATGTCCAACCTTTCCGATTGATCATAGAAAGATCTATCTAACCTTTTCAAGACTGTGTCAAAAACAGTCACATCCGCCTCAACTCTCCTCAACACTTGGACCCGGATCCTGTCACAGACCGAACACAACCAACGGCTCATTTTGAACCCCAATTGGCAGGGTGCAACACAAGACCTCGCCGATATAGAGAATGAGGCTATTGAAAAACAGCAAGCGGCAGAACGACGGGAGCGGGCACTCCAGGAACAACGTGAGGCAGCAGCACGCCGGGCAGAGGAGGAAGAACGAAGACGCGTCTTGAACCCCAAAGCTGGTCGGGGAGCTAGTCGGGGAACTGTGCGAAGTACCGGCCTCGGCAGAACCCCGAGCGTGAGCACTTCTCGAACGGGAGCCACGCGTGGCACATCAACAGCGACTGCAGGGACTCGCCGGCCCGTCAGTGGGATTGCTAGAGGGAGTGGGATCGCCCGTGGTAGGGGGGAAGCCATGATAAAAAAAACAATTTGTTGTTTTTAATGTACCATACCTTACGCCATTTCATGAACATGAAACTCAATAAACATGATACCCACACCCGAGCATCGAAGTCAGTTAAGTCTGGAATCTGTACGAGTACTTAGTAATTAGTAGTACGTAACTAACTAGTTGGTGGTAAGGTAGTCCCACGGGGTCCCATGGCCTAAGACATTGATTGGGCCCCCGGGGTGGAGTCCTAGGACGCGAAACACGCGCCGATAGCGATAAGGAGCTATTATCCCCCGGCTGCGAGTGGTGACCTCGAGTTTCCCCAGCTTCACTTCTGCCCTACCTTCACACGATGAATTTCGCTCCTTATCAGGACGAATCACCAGAGCTTGAAAGGGCCCTGTCCCCACCAAACCTAGAGGGCCGCGTCAAGTCCCCTAACCTCCGCTCACCCCGGGCATCTGCCGACTTACCTTCGCCGGGTCATTTCGCAGGAGGTGGACATGGCAACACTGGCTTTGGACGGGATATTGAGGGCGGCCATGTGAGCCTAGGTGCATTTGAGACCAGCCTGCCGATTCGCATGGATGTGGAAGCTATGCTGGCATATCTGCTTCTGCCTCCAGCCGGAGGAGTCTTTCTGCTCTTGGCCGAGCACAAGAGTGATTACGTTCGGTAAGGAATCTCAATTTCGCATGAATGAAAAGAAAGAACTCCGATGGTGGATCTAACATTGATCACAGATTCCATGCGTGGCAATCTAGTATGCTCTTCAGTGCTATTTTCGTGAGTCTCGTCGACGTTCTTCCATTCCATGGACTGTATCTAACATACCACCAGGTCATCCATCTCATCTTCGCCTGGTCTTCCTTTCTCTCCTGGACCCTCTTCATAATTGATATCCTACTTATTGGGTTCCTCAGCATGCGCGCTTACCGTGATGGTTAGTCCAGCCCCCTGTGTCCGTATCTGGTATAACTTACACTAACACTGCCTCAAGTCGACACATTAGATCACTTCGAGGTTCCTTTCATCGGCCGTATGGCTAACTCCTTCGTGGACAACGAATGATCCGATTCCGAGGCGACCGTCAATACGTTTAAACAGCTCAACGGGCTTTACGTATACTTGAAATTTCTGGCCGGAAGGCGCGTGTTTTTCCTCCATATACCCCTGTCTGTCAGTGCTTTCAACTTTTCAGAGTATGGCATTTTCAGCCTACGTCTTTCTTTTGTGGATATATACTTTAATGTATCAGTTCCTAGGCGACAGGCGGGGCCTTCGCAACGGCTCTCCTTTTATGACATATGTACAAGCATTCCACATCCCTTCCATCACTGCATGGCGTCGCCTTCCTGGCACGCAACAGGAGTGGTGCGGTAGTTTAGCTCCGTCGTAGTGTTGTAACTCCACCAAAAGTCAAGAGACTGTGGGCATGACGAAGGGATCTTGCAAGTAGACTTGTAGTCTACAAGATTCTGCGAGACAATCGAAGCGTAATCTTCCAGAGAGCAGGAATAGCCGGGGCCAGATGTGCACTTGTCAAATGGAAGCACGGCCTCGTTGAGGACCAAGCGAACGAATGACCCTGCTTTTGATAGCGCAGTGGCGTTGCAGCTAAGACGTTCGATCGTGAACCGACCACCCTGAGGAACGATGTCGCCGGGAGTAGGGATTACCGAATGGAACACGGTCCAATGGGAGGTCCTCGTCTGGAATCAGCACACCTAGGGCAGCGAGAATTGGTGTGATATTTGTGTCATGGGCACTAAAATTTGTGGTTAATTGTGACATCCTGAGCCCAGAACGTGGGTAGCATACAAGTTGAGGTAGAGAGGGGCCGCCTTCTCGGGGCCTTCATTAAGGAGGGTCAAACTGGCGTTGGCGTAGACAGAACCGACAGCCGCCATATTCTTGTCACCAGGTCCGCATAGATACTAGTAAGATATAGATTTCCCGGTATGAGCATTGTGTAGAGCAAACTTACCCAGCGCAGTAGTAATAGTTCATGTCTTCGACGTAGCCGAAGCTCACCCACTCGTCCTGGATGAATACATTGATCCATTCTGAGAAGGCACGGGTATTGAGCTCAAATGAAGCCATTGCTGTTTGTATGTGTCAGAGCTAAACCCCAAATAATAATAATAAGAAGAAGAAATGAGGCAGACACTCACACATCAGGTAGTAGACGTCCGATTCGTTGAGACTAAGACCAGGATTTTGCGAATTCAAGCGTGTCGCTGCAACTTTGAACTGCGGCATAAGGTTGGTCAAGTTATCGCAAGTGGTATAATCATTGTCGGTATCACAAGAAGGGGTCAGGCTGTTGGCTCCCATGCTCTCCGACTCGGAGATAATATTGAGAGCGGCGTTTGTCGAATAGTTGTACCCAAAGAAGCCTTCGCCGAATTTGCGAGCAGTGGCAATAACGCGTCCATATCCACTGCCCCAAAATGGTACGACGGAATCTTCGTCCAACAGATGGCCGTATCGATCACGGTACTCCGTGCCGTGGGTGTAAGCATCTAGAAGACCTGCGTAGGGCCCGCTGAAGGTCTCGGCGTTGTAGTAGCACTTGTTGGGAACGTAGTAGGACCAGTCATTGTAAAAGGAGAGATCTTCCTTGAACTCTTCAACGCCAGAGCTTTGCAATTTCGCCAGCGTCTTTTCGATGCCCTCGCCGAGTGCTGGTGACGGGTACCTCTCTCCATGTCGCCTGATCATGATCACTTGGTCGACGGCACAGCTTTCCGGTGGGTCGCGTGAAATACCGAATGATCTTCTCTCTGAATAAGGTCCATTGCCACCGTAGTGCTTTAGAATGCTATATCCATCACGAAACTCCTGAGAAAACTGCTTCTCAAAGGGAGACTTGGTCACGGAGTCACCATATGATAGAGCCGTAACTCCGGCAGTGAGGCCCAAGGCATACACAATCCCCGAGACTAGATGATAAGCCATTTTACCTTCAAAACTTTTATCAACGAATGTTGAGAGATGATTTGAGATATTTGCTTCGGAACTAGCAAGGAATAACAAGCGTGGGAATTTCGAAATACTTATAGTGCGTCTAGGTCGAAAACATACCACAAACATTGTCTACTAAAATAAATGCTATGACGATGTAACGAACTGGGGTTGTTACCATTCGCGGATGCCTGACGTAGATGGCATCCACTTAGGCATCCACGCCTACATGTACTTAGTTCTATCTCAGCTTCCTCCTTCTTCTCCTCAAGCTATTACTTTCGTCGAACAGCTACTGTTTCCTTTGCTTCGTATGCTACGCCGTACGTTGATCTCTGTGAGCATCTGAGCATCCTCACAGACGATTTAAGTCTAGGCCAGGGAGCTAAACAGGAATTTCTCACAGGAATGTCCTGGATGTCTTCGTACGCTTCTTCCTAGCAGCCCACGTGCTCAACATTCGAAAAGGGTATTCGTAGGGCTGGCCTCCATCTAATCTGTCGGCAGTATACTCGAATTCATTCAAGACTTCTCAAGGGCTCCACATCGAAACAAGGCATATTCTCCAATAGAATGGGGCGAGAAGGTGGCGTGCAGCGCCCACACGCTTTCACTGGACTGGTCTGGGCCTATGCTAGTCTGCAGGTGGGTCTTGAATCGGTATCTCAAGCTTTTTAGCTCCATGCTTGGTATCCGGCCCCTTGAACCGTTAAGCAGAGAACTACCCCGGTGTCGTACGACCATGCCGAGTAGCCGATGTAATCTCGCTTAAGCTGCGAAGGCCTTCGTGCGTATACGGAGTAGTACTACTCTCGTTTCACTACTATGTGGATCAAGATACCCTCCATCCAATTAGGAGCCATTATTGTATGTATTTTAGAAAGTATTTCATTCACAGCCCAACTACAATATGAGAATACGCCACGGTATATAGAGGTTTAGAAATGATCTTTAATCAGGTAGTCAAATAAGAAGCCAATGAAGTAATCCTCTGCAATCAAACCGCGGCCGCAACGGGTAGGACTAGTTGCGACACTCCACCAGCGATTTCCAAAGTGTGCCGCTGAGGAACTGTCTTATCACTGTACACGCGATTTTCCGCAGTCCCAAGACTTCTTGCATACATTGGGAAAAAGCCTCCAGCAATAATCAGTCTCACGCGTGTACCAACCCGAAACCGATGAGCACACTCTTGCAACTCTAACTTCAGCGGCTGCGACATATCGCGCGCCGGATCAAGCGCTCGATATACCTCAGTGATGTTGTGGGAAACATCGTCAGTGTCAACCTCACTGAGTCGCACCCACAGGTCTGCGAAGGGTGGATCGCTTTCGTGCATCAGGTGGACGAAGGGGCAGCCCATAATCTCAAGGTCTTCTGTCATAGGCTCACTGGTGAATGCCAGGACGTCCGTTCTGTCTGCATATACACTATCGTTGACTCTTCCGCCTCCAGACATCTGGTTGCCACCAATGCTGGGAGTAGGGTCCAACGGGTCGAAGACGAAAGACGAGGGTCTGGCGCCCTGCGTTGGCAAGGTCGATCCGATGCCGCCCTGTGCTTGTAAGTAGAGAGCAATAGGCTGGCTCGGTGGAGGCCAGTTAGGCAGTGAACGCCATTCTTCAGAGCCGGTGACAAACACCCGAGCTTGGGAGCGATCGTATTTCCCAGCTTTGGCTAGATGCTCAGCGAGGAAGTCCATTATCTCTGGCATAGAATGGAGTCCAGAGCCTTGAACATGGGTCCATGGACCGACAACGAGGTTGACATTCACTCCTCGGTCATGCAGCCTTTGGAACTGGTGTATTGTCTGCCTCGTGAAAGTGTCGTACCAACCGCTCACTAACAAGATAGGAATATTTGCACGTTCAAGCGAAACATGATGCCTTCGCGATGTCCAGTAGCTATTCTCAACATCAGGATGCTTAAGATATTCGAATAGCCATGGAGCCCTATCACCGAAGTATTTCTGTAAACTTTCTTCCAGTGGTAGACCCTCTACGGCCTTTTCGAGTTCTGCAGGTCGCAAAAAGCTCAGTCCCGGTAGATGTGACAGACGCGAAAGAAAACCTCCTTTTTCATCGTCTGGTCGCGACATCATGTCGCTCCAGGAGGCGCGGTCTAGGCGAAATGATCCCGTGTCCCACGCGTGCGAGGCCTGGTCATGAGGTCCAACGGGGATAACAGCAGCGATGCAATCCTCAGGCGGGTCATGCAAAAGCGCCCACTGACTATATCCAAGGTATGAGGGACCGAGAGTTGCAAAAGAGCCAGGATACCAGGATTGCTGACGCATCCAAGCGACGATGTCCTGACTGTCGGACTGCTCGTTGCTTCCCGGGTCGAATGTCCCACCGGAGCCATAAGTGCCGCGCGTGCTCACGAATACAGCTTGATAACCTCGAGCCGCGAAAACACGGGCATTGATGAAGGATATGCCTGCTCCCCTACCATAGCAACACTGGATCATGATCAACCCGGCGGGGCTCTGTTTGTCGGGCAACTCTGGTGAATAGAAGTCGGCTTCCAGGTTGATGCCATCTCGCATGGGGATCTGAACGGCTTGTGTCGTGTAACTGCACAATTCAGGGCCGACGCCCAAGTAGCGTGCCCCAAGATAGTCCAAGGTTGCGTTTGAATAGCTTCGCTTCACAGGTTGTCCTGCCATCCTGGCCGGGTTGAACGGGTATCGAAAGACGCAGCAGGAGCTGTGGGGGGGTATTGGGCTAATTTGATGACCCAAAATGATCACAGATGGCCTATATCCGCCAGTATTGTCTGTGGTGTTTTGTTATTTGTTTTCTTGCGGCGCCACGTGTTGATTCAGGACATGAAGGTATAACCAGCGGGGAATCAATCATCCATGACGTTGCTGAAACGCAGGGGCCTCCAATTACATCGGGGGGGCCTGACGATCGACCGGGTCTCGGCCCGCCCGTCCACTACGAGTACAACTATGGAACTACAAGCCTACGGCTGGAAATCAATGATGATTTTCTTCTACAGAGAAAGATGTGGGAAGCAGAATATGGTTGGGGCATTTACTGCAGTCCAAGGAGTTTTTTTTCAGAAGGAAATGGCCATGAATTAGAGTAGGAAAAGAAAAGCATACCCAGCGGCCGTGGAGGACACAGCCCAAGATCATTCCTCATACAATTTCACCCGACAGATCTCGTGGAAGAAAAAAAAACGCATCCATCAAATACACAAAATGCCCAATGGGCCGAAGACGCTCAAACCCCGAGGCTTCCCAAGCAAGATCCAGAAAAGAAAGAAAGACGATAAAATATTCGCAGGCACGTTGTGAGGAAGTATTTGACAAGGCGGCCAGACGAAATAGAAAAAGAAGGATGCGCAAATAAGGCATCAAATAATAAGAAACAGACGATGTGGAAGTTAAATAAGAGATCGTGAATGTGCAAAAAATTGACTCGGAAGAAGGCATGGTATCTACGTGAGAGCGTGCAAAAACACAAGAAAGGGTGCCCCGTCAGGACGAGAGATTGTGAGGGTCGTGGCGGTTCATGAGTGACAAGAATTTCCAGATCTAGATGATCTGGAGGTAGTTGCTCGGTACCAAGCCAGGGTGTCCGCGAGCATTGGTGACTTCTGCTTCCCACCAGCCATCATCTTGGAGGCGAATAACGGCCAAGACATCGCCTTTAGTAAATCCAAGCTCTTCAGGAATGGCAGCACTATAGGTGTACATTGAGCGAGCTATAAGGGCGTTAGCTAGCAATTCAAAGGTTTCCTCTACATACAGCTGTGAGTGACATGGCGGATGCTTACCAAAGTGTAGAATAGGACGTCCATCACGGCTGAACTTTCGACCGGGGTCGGCAACGGCAACGGTGCGACTGCGAGATCGACCGACTGGCGGCGGTGCATTGTTATCTCCCCCGTACTGGGACATCGGTCGACCGTCATGACGTGAGCTATAGCTCGATCCACCGCCGTACATGTCAGCTTGATTAGAAAGCTGCAGCTCCATGCCGCCAGCGCTAGAAGGGCGGGTCTGTTGTCTGAAAGCAGGCTGAGGGGAGACTGCACGGTGACTACTAGCAGCCGGGGAAGCCCGCCTAGCGTAGTCGTTTGGCGAGTAGGGCGGCTCCTGGGCGCGGCGTGGGGTAGGAGACTGACTGTAGCGGCTGCGCGCGCTACTCGATTGGTATGTGGTTGGGCTTGGGGCTGGGCTGGCTCCGCCGCTGCCATATCCTGATCGGGTGTCGATGCGTGGAGATACTTGAGGACTGGCGCTGCGTCGCATGGACGGAGCAGGAGATCGTGCACGAGGAACCTCCTGAGACTTTGCTGCGGGGGGGAGCATTGGGGTTATTGCTGCCGCCTCGAAGCATGCTTTGTGTTTGACCAGTATACCTCTGAGTGGTCTTCTGCATCTGCTTAGACGTGAAAGCTGGCTCGGGAGCATCGAGTCGTTTCACCGACGGGTCATGGTATGCAGGGGGAGCGCCAGAAGAGCTGCCGCCGTAGGTAGACGAGGGGGCCGAAGGGGTCGGGGTCGAGATTCCGTGGTATCGATCAGCGGAAACACGCAGAGTAGATTGTTTGCCAGTGGTCTTCAGATCGGCCAAAGCACGCGCGATGGGGTCCGCATCATCCTCACCACCCTTGGCTTTCTGTGCTGCCCGGTTGGCCGCATTCTTCTCGGGAGAAGCAACATCGAAAACATTGTTTCCAATATTGAGCTGGAAGTTAGCACGTGGGTCAACAGGCTCAGGGCTCCGGGTACGGCGCTCTAGCTGAGGTTGAGGCTGAGACTGAGGCTGAGGCTGAGGTGCCTTTGGTGGGCTGGCCTGCTTAGTAGGGGAGCTCCACGGGCTCCTGGAAGATTGGGATCCGATGGCAGGCCTCTCCTTGTCATGACGGCTCTTGCGACGGAAGGGGCTGTTGCTAAAGAAGGCAGTCTTCTTTTTCGGGGTAGCTTGCTTGTCTTCTCTTTGGCTTGGCAGAGGTTCGCTGTTTGTTGGCTTAGGCGGTGGCTTTGCGGTCATTGGCTGTTCTATACTCGACATGGAGGTAGGGTTCGACACTTCACTCTGGGAGTCACGGCTGGATGGTCGGTATGCGCTAGCAGCTGAGCTTCGCTCCGAAGGGGGCCCAGTGCGACAGAACATGGTCATACCATCAGTGGGGTAAGCGTTGTGAGGAATGGCATTGATCTCTCCATGCTGATCCGGATCATAGTTTGGCGGGAGTTGTCCACCCGTCGAAGGTCCAAGGGAGGAGGCTGCTGAGCATTCTCCTGCGCAGGATGCGGTGCCGGATGACCCATCTGAGCTGCAAGATCCGACTGCGGGTCATGGTGGGACTCAAAGGTCGAGGGCTGAGGAGAAGATGTGCGGAATGCCGGGTTCATAGTCCTCTGGAACTGAGCAACCGAGTAGCCCTCACCTTCATCAACTTCAGATCCTGTGTCTGTGTCCTCTTTGCAGAAATTGATAAAGCGTGGAGGGTCCGGAATTTCCTGGCCAGTGCCTTTGTCCTTAATGAAGTACACGATGTCCTTCTCGACCTCGCAGCCTTCGAGAGAGAGACGGATCTTCTCGCACGAAGCATCGTCGCTAACACAGACTGTGGACGCAATGTTCGCATAGGTCCAGAGACTGCTCTTGGAGAAATCTAGACGCTCTTCCTCGAGATCTTGGAATTTGTCGCAGGCTGCCTTCCACTCCTTGTTCCAGCGACCGGTCGTCTCCTCAAGTGTCTTAACGGCGGCCTCGTATTCGTTGCTGTTCGATGCAAGCTGAATCTGAGTCTTCTCAAGCTTGGCCTTGTTCTTGCGCTCTTCTTGGCCCATTACCATGTGACCCTGTGCGAGATAGCCCTTAATACGCAGACAGTCTTGTTCGTAGCGATCCCGTGTCTAAAAAAAATAAATAATTGGTCAGGAGACATAACCATAAGCTGGACATGGAATACCGACTTTGTTGACAACCTGTGTCTGTTGGACTTTGGTCTTGTGAAGGCGTTCAATGGTGTTTTGGATGATCTTTCGTCTTTCCTTCAGTCCGCTAGCGAAAGCGGATAGCGGCTCCTCCAGCTCAGTTTTCATCTGACCTGCAATCGCGGAGTGTGCTTTGGCAATGGCTTCCGTTTCTCCCCGTACCACGTCGAGCGAGAGCCGTAGAGAGCCAGTTTCGGATGCCCCCAGCGACTTACGGCACAGCGCTGAAAGCTTACGGGCATATTCGTCTTCAATCGCGGCTCGTACTAATGAAGGATACTAGTTAGTTGGTTGATCTGTATTCTGTAAATAATCTCTTTCGTACCGCTGTAGAACGCTTTCAATTCATCACTAGTTGTTTTCGAGCAGTGCATGCGGTCAAGCATGGGCTGTAAACCTGCGTCATCTTTTCCCCAGAAGTTGTTCGCGACTAAGTTTGAAAATGTTAGTTATTGTATTTTGCGCAGAGGAGCCAAGATGCCTTACAGGACATGGAGACCGTCGGTCCCTCAGCCACCGTCCCAGGCATCGTTTTCGTAGTTGAGCCTCGGCCAGCCTTTGCTCAATCAAGTTGCAGATGATAATTTGGGCACAAAGGATAGATGGGAACAAAGAAACACAGTATGTAGCAGGAGGAAGACACAAACAGACCCTGCGGTCGCTGAATGTCAAGATGTAGTCAGAAGCAGCTGCAGCTGGGCATGTTTACTCCGGTGGATGGGCGCGTCACTCGGGGCAACCAGCCATGCAGCCGCCATGACTAAGCCGATCACTGCCCTAATTTGACGCGTCGCTGGTACTTTAGACTTTTGAGGCGAATGCTACGATTCAAATCAGGTTTTTTTGGGTTTTTGTTTTTTGGTAGAAGTTTTCTTTGCATTTTCAGCTAACTAATCTATCTACATAAGGATGTCATTCTTGGGACCCGCAATTTTAGTAAATCCAGTCTGCCTAGTTGGCCCCATAACGCTGTCACAAGTTAATTCATATCCATGAAAAAAGATAGAGAAAAAAAAGTACACATGGTGAAGTAGTTCGTGTCTTGACTAAAAAAATCCCCATAAAAAAACTCCAGAAATGCGTGTTCGTAACCGCCATCGGTAAAAGCAAATTCGCCAGTGTAAAATACCCAATGACCCGCTGCATGCTCGCACCTCTTTCGTATCATGTTGCAAGTCGTTGCGTCATCTTCGAGACCATCCGTCGGTCAAAGATCTCATCAAATCCATCTCTATTCTTTCTTTTCATCAAGCCATAATGTTGGTAACAGGCCCATTTAGTAGGGCAGGAGGGAGGCAGCAGCGGGAATAGACCAGCTGGAGCTAGGAGTAGCCACACTCGAAGTGCTGGAAATAGCTCGGCGGGCAAAAGGAGTGGGCGAGGCCGAGGCGCTCACGCTTGGTGAAGAAGAAGCAGCGGATAGGTCGGGGGAGTACGAGTCGTCAACAAAGTCGCGAGCGGCCAGGGGAGTGGCGGATGCACTTGGGGTAGCAGAAGATGGCAGACCGATGCTGGAGGACCAGCCCCACTGGCGAGCGACGAGAGAAGTAGAGGAAACCGCACTTGAGGTAGGAGTAGCCACGGAGGAAGACGGATACCAGCCATTGAGATCACGGGCGACGAGCGGGGTGGCGGATACGCTCGGGGTGGCAGAAGATGGCAGACCCCACTGGCGAGCGACGAGAGAAGTAGAGGAAACCGCACTTGAGGTAGGAGTAGCCACAGAGGAAGACGGATACCAGCCATCAAAATCGCGAGCAACGAGAGAAGTCGCAGACACAGGCCAGGAACTGGAAGATGGAACCCAGCTGCGGGCGTACAGGAATGGATCACCGGCAGCCTTCAGACCACGTCGGAAAAAGGAAGAAGAGTCCGGGGGTGGCATGAAAGAACCACCGGGGGGAGGAGCATGATGAGCGTTAGGGGTCGAGCTGGGAGCCACGGAAGACGGAGACAGGGTGGGAGATGGAGTGGCGGTGATAGTGACAGTAGAAGGCACACCGGGGGCTCCGGCTGCAGTCACCACTGAGTTGAGCGTCTGGGTAACAGTCTCGACCTCTGGAACGGCCGAGCTCGAGGAATCACCGCCGACATTCACAACTTCATATTCTGGCTTGCGGCGAGTGAGGTCGTCTTGGGAGTTGGCCAAAGGCGCAGCGTAGGCCACACCGATGGAGGAGAGGGCAACGAGTGCGGCAGCAGATGTGAAATGCATAGTACAGAAAGGTATGTGTTCGTCGTAGTATTTCGTGAAAAGGGTATTGAGAGTAAACAATCAAAATCACTTAACAGTCAAGAAACACGGAAGTTCAAGAGTAATAGAGAGTTGAGGGAATTGGTTGAAGAGTACTCCGTAAATTGGTTGAAGATATTGAGAACAGAGGATGAATGAGTGCGGGTTTAAAAGTGGACGACAATATCGATTTCGATCACAGTGTCACTCAACATGAAGTCAGTGAGGTCCACATGGCAACCTTGCGATTGGCACAAAAATAAGTTGGCTGGAGATGGGACGAGTGGCTGGGGAGATGAACCAGCCACCTTTTTTTTGTTGTTGACAGGCGGGAAGCCGGTCTCCACATGGCAACCACCCACGCTAATTGGAAGCCGAGGAAGCCGAGCAAGCCAAAGCGGAGCAACAGAAGCACCCTAGGGTCTCCGTACCCTCCGGAGAGATAAACCCTTCGGCGTGGCTGGGGGGATCCACTCCTTCTCAAGACCGCTGCCTAGTTACTTTTCTTAGCTTCTGGAAGCGCTGCTACCTAGGGCAATTGATTCATCGCCTCTCGATCGGCAACTGTGACACAATGTGTTTCCACTGATCTACCGGATCTACCGTCTCTGCCGGGGGTGTTTCGGTCGGGGGCTGGCCAACTCATGCTAGGAAATGGCCAGATCCTCGACCCGTAACAGGCCACAGCCCAATGCCGCGCAAGCCCAGGCCGCACATCGGCGGTTGGGATTCCAGCCAAGCGCCGTGACGTGAGTACCTTCCTCATAGATGCTGGTGATGCTACAATCTGCAATGTGTCGAGTTCGACTGGCAAGATTTTTGGCCAGTTGGTTTTCCTCTGCTTTGTAACCGTCGAAGAACCGGCTAGTCCCAGAGCCATCTGCATCGGGCCCAGCCACCCATTCATGGGTGAACCAATATTGTTGCCAGTGCTCCGGTTTAGTGTGGAGAAGCTTGCGGAATGGATTGGTGGCCGTGACTTCACCTCCCGTGCCACCCTGGAGGATACAGGGATGCCAGAAGCTGCAAGGTGCGAGACTGATCACTGAACTCGGAAGGTTTGCTACCGCCGTCGATGAGAAGAAACGACGAATGGGCATCATACGTCCAAAGTCGTTTTCGTCAATCGAGATGATGGATTGCAAAACAGGCGAATAGCTAACGTGACGGGCAGCCATACGCATGCGGACCGTTGAGGTCATTTCGCCCTGGGGCTCAATCATTGACCAGAGTTGGGTTTCGCCATCCATGGAAATCGTGCTTATGAGATGAGGGTTGCTCGGGTAAGCAGACGTTATACTCAGCACCCATGTCGAATGAATGAGCCGGTAAAAAAATGGGTGTGGCTCTGGGGATGATGGAGGTAGGATGCTCCAGGCGGCGACATGGCCATCAGAGCAGCCCACCGCTATATCACTGGGAGACAGCCATGTCACACATGAGAAGACCGTTGAAGGCGGTCGGGCCTCAAAGACAGGAGAGATTACTCGAACTTGAAATAATTTGTTAGAACCCTTTATCAATTGTTCGAAATATTCAAAACAAAGAAGGGACATACCGTATTCTTCTTGCTGAGAGCCTCGGTGCACCTTGATATCCAAGACTCGCACATTTCCGTCTCCCCAGATTCCAGCCAGAAGTCCTATACTTTGTGTGTCCCCTCGCTGTCCTCGTGTCGCTCTTCTCGGGGCATTGGGCACCAAGCAATGCTGCGTATGTCGCCCCAATCTGTACAAACGACCAGTCGTCTTTGCGGTGTTGTGCTCATGTCGAGCGATTTGGTTGGACATCCAATTTCTTTCCCCTTAAATTCCCACAGCTGTAGAGCACAAGGATACGAGGGTGTCGGTTGAAATGAATTACCAGAATCTGCTCCAAGAGAGCTGCATTCCTTTTTCTGTGCCTCGGTGATTGGGACCACCACAGCCAGGTATTGAGAAAGCCCTTCTTGGTTTGGCGCCCAGGCCAAACATTGAATTTTGCGACCAAAACTCATGAGCCAGCCTTCACGAGCAGGTTTTCTGGGTTTTTGGTTATTTGATCCGCTGGTGAAAGCCCAGGGTTTGCTGTAATCATAAGGCGCATCATAGCCCAGATCAATCTGGGTCTGCTGGTCTGCTGGCCCCATAAGAACTGTATGCTTTTTGGTTGGCGGCTTCGCGAGATAGTTATTGATATCGGTTTTCTTCAGTTTTTCAAAGTGCTGTGTGGCCCGGAATCGGTCTCCAATGTCCTTATCGTAATACCAATCCCACGCGGACTTGCTCTCAGCTTCAAAATCCTCGGGGCTAAGGCCTAAAGTAGGACCATATGGATAGTCGGGCTGTCTCTTTAGATTCTCAAGAGTATTGCGACGGGGGAGGCATGCATCTCCACCTTCAAGCCATTGGTCTCGCTGGTACAATGCGGCAAAGAGATCCCGTTCATCTGATCCAAATGCAAATCTATAGAGCATTTCTTTCGAGGTATTGTGGTTGTGATTCAGGCCACCCCGGTAATGCGTTTCATTGGGATCGATCTCCATTGAGCCATCGGGCCCTTTTGTTCTAGGTCGTGCGGTTGAGGTCGCAGCCTTCTTTTTTGGGATGAATGCGGCCGCGTTAACATTGACGATCATCTCATCGGGGGATCTTCTTCCATCTTCCTCTGCTTCCCCTTCTTCTTCAGAGGCAGCTTCTTCAGAGGCAGCTGCATCTTCCATTTCCTCGTCATCCACGTCATCATCCTCCTCTTCCTCTTCTTCATCATCGTCGCCGCCAACGAATTCATCGTCTGATGGGGATTCCTGCTTCAACCTTCTGGCCCTTTTCGGAGGGTTTTCATCTGGTTCATCGTCGCTGATGCCGGCGACAGCAAATGGATCCTCAGTGTAGACCGCCTTGGAAGCTCTTACGCGGCCGGATTTGCGCGCCATTCTAGCCGAGATGATCGAATATCGTTGGCAGTCGGGAGAGGCCCACCAACGCTCTCATGTGGAATCTGTAGATTCAAAACAACCAAATTCTTCAATAAGTGGCGAGCCAGGTTGGGACGAAAGGGTGTGGTGACGCGCGAGGAGCATCGCGATGCATCGGAATGTTCTGTCGCGGCAGTTCGCAGCTTCCTTTACGCTATACCCGATCGGGATCCCCGCTCTCTACTATAATATGGTGGCCATAATAGTTACTACTAGCATACTACAAGAATACATACTACTGCCTAGGCTACAAGAATACCAGTATTTGAATCAACACAAGGAGACCGTACTACACACCATTATCAAGTCACTCCCAAATAGTTCAAGTTTATTTGATTGTTGCATCATTATCCATTTAGCCAGATCTGAGATCTTCTGTGAAAAGTAGTAATCGTCCCTAGCTGTAAATTATCTCCAGGTGCTTGACATCATTCAAATTCTAGTGTAGCTTCTGTTAACTTCGGAAGCTTGAAGTCTGTACACGGTTGCAATCAAGTTGTTGTGAGTCATCATCGAGGTGAAACACAAAGAAGGTTTTCATACTACTACTACTACTATACAGACTCAATGTAAGCAGAAGACAAACCATTAACCACTGCAACAGTGATACAGTACGGCCAGCCTGAGGACATGCATGAGTTCGGGCATCCTAACATTCAAGTTGGGACTCAGAAGCTGACTGTGAGGATGCTCGGATGCTCACAGAGATCAACGTACGGCGTAGCATACGAAGCAAAGGAAGCAGTAGCTGTTCGACGAAAGTAATAGCTTTAGTTAATCTTGATTATAGGTGCTGCGATATCCCGAGCAAGTAGCGTCTGTTCAGTGGGCGTATTCTTCGGTTCATTGGATTTTGCTTCTAGGCTGGTTTGTGATGAAGTACCTGCCAATGCTATACCGCAAAGGCTCGTCGTATCAAATTTTCAAGAAGCGGTGCGAAGAAATTTGATCGCTTTTTATCAATATGTGTGTGTACCTAGGTATATATACGGGAAAGGTAGAACGAGGAGATATGAGACTACTGTCAACAAAAGCGATCGATCACGTCATCCAGGTCCCCATGAATCGCCAAGTCAGCTGGTTTCATGATACTGTAATTATCCCCATTTCGTTGTGGTTCAGTGGGTCACCTTCCGATATGGAAAGTACAGCTAGTACTTCTTGACTGCGGCCACCCCGAAAATCGTTGCAAAGGTTACTCGCCGCGAGACTTGGAGCTCCATAATTGTTTGAGTAGACAAGCAGTGATTCAAGCAAATGGGAATGAGTATATGCCTATTGTGCTATGATAATTATACCGCCTTGAGCCCGTGAGAGTACCCGGGTGCTTGCTTTCTCATCGAGCGATCCCTAGCTTGACAAACCTGTCTCGTATGAGGTGTCCCTTTGCTATGGGACGATAGGCATCATGTACTCCCGTGCCGAATGCATGATATCAAGGAATCATCCCTGCACAAAGCATGAAATCATGTAACATCGAGCATAGTGGCCAATAAAAGATCGTGCCGACATCCAAGGCAGATGGGTTGATAGCTAGTGCGAGTGAAGATGTCCGACCCAGCAAGAGCTTCGCTCCAATTAATTTGTCCAGTGTTTTCTTACAAAGATATGCCAAGTCGGGGAAATTGACTAGACCCATTCATGATGGGGCCGTTTAATGGGCCCCTGCATCAATCCCACGCTTGCGTGGACAGCTTCAACATGGCCAACCGATTACTAAATTTAAAGCTAGACGGTTTTCGGAAGTTTACTGACATTTACTCCTCAAGCCTCGATGGAATGGGTATAAAACTTCTGAAGCTGGGGCCTAAGTCCTGTGTCATTCGCTATTTTTTGACCGAGCCCAAATACCTCGAAGGTAGTAATGAATCGTTGGGTTGTCTTATTTGGCCCCCAATGATGGAAGCCTCTTTGGCTCCTCGAAGCCTTGTGGATAGGTGGCGTCGGATGTAACGGGGTGCATTCCTTTCGCTCGGGCCGAACCTGATTGACCTCGTGCTATGAGCATGTTCTTCAGTCTTAAATGATGATTCTTAATCGAGATTGAATTGATATAGCATCATTTTGAGAGCTTCATAGACTAAATTACAGCAATCATGATGCGGATACTTAACCAGAAACTTCAATTCGTTGTTTGATTTCACCGGGCGCTTACTAGCGAACTCTGCAAATGGTCTAGATGCAAGGTTAAGGACCTAGTCAAGGCGCGATTTTTAGAGAATATGTGATACAATAGGAGGTACCGATCCGTGTCCTGACTCCTCTTGAAAGCTGGTAGTCGCAGACTTGGAGTACAAACTTCTGATACAAACCATACACTATGTTACCTAGGTATAAAGTATCAAGAACAGGGTCCAGATCCTGCAGCACTAGTGGTTTTTTTTTTCTTTCTTCTGTACTGCCATGGACTCTAGTTACTGATATCGTTTGTAATCAATCTATCGAGAACAATAGATATACAGCTCAAAGATAGTGGACAGATGCAAAACATACCCGACAGAAGTGCAACTTGTAAAAAGAAAGAAAAAAGAAAAAGAAACAACTTTCATTGAATTAGAAAAACTTGTGCTCGATCTTCACAAAAGCTACCTGGCTGAGTATACTAGGAATAAGAAGAAGGATCAACAAGGCAGTATCTCGCCATGATATTACTGGATCAAGTTAAATGGCGCAGGGTGGAGAAGCCTGATTCGAGATAAATAGTGCGATGGATTGTCTGACATGGTATTCAAGTTGCAGTCAAATTTACGCTTTGATCGATTATTTACATATACTCGTACACACTGGGAGGAAGACCGGTGGAAATGAGGGGATCGCCAAAAAGCCCCGCGGTGGGTCAGGTACGTCAATCATCTCCCCCCTCCACCGGCCTCCGCTTCACCCCTTCACTCCCTCTACCGCAATGGCTCCCAGCCCAGACCGTGGATTGTCTCACCGTGGTGTTCTCCACGAATATGTATGTTCATATTCTTCATCCACTTAAGCTTAGCTAGGAAGGATGCCGGTCTGACTATTGGACACGCAGGCCCCTAGGCTGGTAGCCTTTGAATTTACACAGCCAGCCAGCGTCAACAAGCCAAACAGCTTGATCTTCGTGGGCGGACTCACTGATGGCTTCTGCACAGTGCCATATGTATCGAAACTAGCAGAAGCACTGGAGCCGACCGATTGGTCCGTCTTTTCTATCCTGTTATCTTCCTCCTACAATGGCTTCGGAGTTGGCAGTCTCGACAAGGACGTAGAGGAGATTGGTCACTGTGTGCGGTATATTCGCGACCTCAAGGCCTCTAGACAGCCCGGAGCCCCATCCAAGTCGGCAAAGATTGTGGTCATGGGCCACTCAACCGGCAGCCAGGATGTCCTCCACTACATCCATGCGCCTAACCCGTTGCCAAAGCCCGAGTTCGACATTGGGCTTGAACATATCGTTCGGCCAGAACTTGACGGTGCTATCATGCAGGCCCCCGTTTCAGACCGCGAGGCTGTCCTGGCAATTATGAAATCTGCTACAAACCCTTCCGAAGTCCGAGGGGCCTTCGATCAGCTCGTCAGCTCTGCCAAAAAGCAGCCCTGGACCGAGGAAGGAAATGACACTCTCCTACCAATGAATATGACTGCAAAGCTTGGTCTTCCGGGCGATGCCCCGCTCAGCGCTCGTCGATTCTTGAGCCTGACCAGTCCGGATAGCCCGGCAAGTCCCTCACAGGATGACCTTTTCAGTTCCGACTTGAGCGACAAGCGTCACCAAGAAACATTTGGAGCTGTTGGATCCCGAGGCATCCTCCAATCCAAGCTGCTGGCTCTTTACTCTGGTAGCGACGAATGGTGCCCCGCCTGGGTTGATAAAGAGAAGCTGATGCAGAGATGGAAGCAAGCCCTCGAGGCTGGAGGGGCGTCCTGGGCAGAACAGAGTGGTATTGTCCCCGGTGCGAGTCATAATGTTCGGGACGAAGGTCAGAGGGACTTGATCGATCGCGTCTTAGGTTATTTGGAAAGCATCTAGAGGCTACGAACAGTGAAAAACGGATCCGTATACTAGAAATAGAATCAAATTCAAATTTCTATCGGCCATAATAAGCATATAAAGAAACGTAAACACCGCCCAGAAGTATGTGGATATGGAGTAAGGAGAAGATCTCAAAAAATTGGGGTATATCGAAGGACGGGTTGAACGAGTTCAAAACCTTCCGAGTTATTATGCGCGACTCAACACATCATTAGATTGGTGTATTTGGCGTCGTTCAAACCTTAAGCCAGAGGTTGAACACGCCCTTGAGGTATTCGACGATTTCAGATCCACCCAGCTTGCTGTCGCCGTAAATGCGGTCCACGAAGGTGATAGGGCACTCCTCCACCTTGTAGCCCATGGCCTTGGCCCGGACCATCATCTCCATCTGGAAGCTGTAGCCCTTGGACTCAGTGCTGGTGATGACCTTGTCGAGCACCTCCTTCTTGTACAAGCGGAAGCTGCCAGTCAGATCGCTGACACCAGGCATGAGCATGACATCTGCGATCAGGTTGGCGGTACGCGAGGTAAACTTGCGGAATAGATCCCAGCCATAAACACCACCCTTGATATCTCCACGATTGGCGTAGCGGGTACCGGTGACAATGTCTGCATTGCTCTCCTTCTGGATGCGAACCATCTCGGGAATAAACTTGGGGTGGTGGCTGAAGTCGGCATCCATGATGATGACAAAGTTACCGGTGCAGTGGACTAGGCCGTGGACGTAGGCAGTACCGAGACCGAGCTTTCCCTCGCGCGGCTTGAGATTGATGTGTTCCGGACCGTAGAGTTTCTGGAGTTGCTTGGCAATTTCAAGGGTGCCATCAGGGGAACCATCGTCAACAACAACAACCTCCCAATCCAGATTGCTGGTCGAAAAAACGTAAGAGTTAGCAAGATTTACCGGATTGGTGTTGCTTTATCGGGCTCGTCATACTTCTCGGTGAAAGTCTTCTGGATCAGCCAGACAATGATAGGGAGGTTCTTCCGCTCGTTGTAGGTCGGCAGGATGACCGAGTACTTGTTCTTGGTGGAGCCCATTGTGATAATTAAGAGGAGACTTCAAGTGGTGTCTCCAGGACAAGTGCAAGAGAGAAAAGGGAAAAAGAAGGAAAGAAAGGGAGTAGAGAGCGAATGGTTGACAGCTTGCCGTGTCCGGGGAAGACCACCATGGCCGCTCGCGCCAACTCGCCCTTGGCTGTGGTCCCACACCGCCTTTAGGCAAAACACGACCGATAGCTTATCGTAGCTGCATTTGGATTCGGACAACAACCTTCGTCGAGGTCAGCGTCTTAAATTTGTTTCTTTCGGTCACACAATAGGCCAATTCGCGATGGCTTTATCGCCAACAAAGCACACTCGCAATGCTTCACGGTGTGCGTATCTGCTTTTCCTCATTACGCCCATAGACCCCCGCCTGCTCTTCTGGAAACTGCCGTATTGATTGATTCCCCAGCTTCTCGACCCCGCAGCTCAACACGAGGGCCGTTGGATGCATCAGATGAGTGAGCAGATCAGCTGAAAGCGCGAAACTTTTAACCATTTAATCTAACACACGATAGCCCTCTCTCGTCCCCGGGTTCAGCTCCCTCGCCTAGTATTATCCAACAGAAGTTTACTAGCGGTGACGACTTTTCCGGCGCTTCCCTTCACGAACTAGACCCGCTGGCCCCAGAAGACCTCCCTGAAACCCTGGGTAAAGACCTTTCATTTCTACTACGACCTAATATATATCACCCACTATCTCATGTCGATATTCCTTCTCCACTTCGTTCCCATTTCATCGTGCTCGATCCCGGCGAACCGCTGTCGACAAACCTCGGCATTTTAGAGAAATTGCTGGTGGAAGGTCGCTTTCTGGTTGCTGCGCATTTTGCGGGCTCAATTCTCACTTCGTCATTGATAACGCCCACCGATATAAAGATCATATTCTCTCTATTTTACACCCGTCTTGCCTGCCTGGAGCTTTCGGGAAACACAGTTCTCGCAGCACAGGAATCGAAAGCTCTGGAGGACCTCAACTCCACATTCTACTATATTGACTCCAGTCTCGATTCGTCCAAGCAAAAAATTCAAAATGAAGATCTCAAGGATATTGAGCATGGCCCTTTCCCACGTCATATCGTTCCTTGGCCACTTCGCGTTCTAGCTGTTCGACTTCAAAGTATTGGATTTGGTGACTCTCGCAGGAGTATTGGGGGTCTGTATGAGATTGGCCTCGAAGCAAGAGCCCAAATCATGAAAAACGAGACCAGCGAACCAGAAAGAAAAGTCTGGAAAGAGCGGTTAGCGGACTTGGGCATGAGAAGCGTGAATGCGTTGGTCGAGATGGGCGATCTCGATGCAGCTAACAGGTCGCTAGAAGGACTAGACACGTCTAGCCTGGAATCCGATACTACAAAACTGAGGAAGGCGCTTCTTTTCTTAAGGATGGGTGATCTCGATGCGACACAACGAGTCTTCGATAACCCTCCCAATTCCAAAGAGCCTTCCTTGTTAAAACCCCTCATCAGCATGTCTGATGGCCGCTATCAAGATGCGATCAACGAGTGGCGCATATTATTAGAAGATAACCAGAGAACTGATGGTGCTTTGGTGGCACACAATCTTGCTGTGTGTCTTCTTTACACTGGTCAATTGGATGAGGTATGTTGGCTTCCCTGGTTTAGATTGGAACCATTTGACTTATCACTTCTGCAGGCTCGCCAACTACTGGAATCTCAGATCTCGGCCAACCACTCGTTCAGCAGCCTCATATTTAACCTCTCGACTGTGTATGAACTTTGTTCCGACAACGCTGGCCAATTGAAGGGGCAGCTCGCAGCCACCATTTCTAACCAGCCTATTTCTGGACAAACCAACCTAGACCGATCAAACGCGGACTTTAAGCTATGATACCAATTGAAAATGATCGTGGTGTGTTGATTGATTCCAGTGTGTATGTAAAGCGGCAGACCGAAACACAAAAAAATGCTGCCCTAAAAGATAATGAAGGACCTTGACCAAATATGCACCAATTCACCCATGCATCCGTTACCAAACAACGCCTTAAAAATGCTTATACGTCTAGGCACGCGGCATTGGAGGGGGCCGCGGCTTTGGTCGTCGGATAATGACCTTGTCCCCTTCTTTTTCCCAACCAAGTTTCTCGGCTTCGACCAATTTTTCCCAGGTCCAGCTCTCCTCGTCTCCTGTACATCCACCCACAATCCAGCTGACGTGAACATTGAGGTATGCACTGCCCACAGCCTTGAGAGCTTGCCGTCGAACTCGACCCACGGCCCAATTCATCACCGCACGCACGTACGAATCCACGCTCTTATGTGCTTGCCAAAATACAACCCAATTGTCATGCATCAATGCAGCTAGCACATTGTCGATGGTTTGTGATTGGAACCCGTATTCCTTCCGTGCCCGAGCACGCCACTCAAAGGCAGACACCATATCATTCTGACGACAGGCGTAGTCGAGTATCAAGTAGGACACAATCTCTTTTACCTCGCAATCTGGTAGTGGGTGAGCCTTGGAATGCAACCTATCGAGGCTATATCGCAAGGAGGGGAAATACGATGGCGGGTGCTGCGCGCGGATTGATAAGCGGATGGAGAAGACGTGCACTCGCTGGGAAAAGATAGCCGGTGTTGTCACTGAAGTAGCAAGAATGGCCTCTCGCAACTTTCGGAGGGAAAGGAGAAGAGTGGATAGCTCCGCAGATGGGGGGAGGTCCCCCGCGAACAGCGGGGTTCGACTTGGTTGATGGTTGAGCAGCAGCTGGATTCGAGGTTACATCGTTGGACGAGCTGGTGGGGAGCGAGGTGAGTGCAGCATCAAGATCTTTGCTGTGGTGAGCGCAGAATTTCATGTATCTTTCGACTATCGTGTCAAAGTATTCTTTCTGGGCGGCGTGATCGAGCAGCCTGCGGGGGATCCTTGTCAATAAACACGGTCAACCATGCAGGCCCTGAGGCGAACATACTTCTTGTCCCCCTTCGAGACAAACCCCACAGTTTCTAGGAAGTCCGCCACCGGTCGCAGCCGGCTTCCTGGTACTCGTTTCGACATGACGTGAGGATGTTCATCCTAGAGACGGGTTGCATATGACGGCAGGAGTGTCATTCAGAGCCTCAGGCATCAAAATCGTCTCCCAAACAGGAAGCTGGCAGAAAGTTCAGGCGGTCGGCACATGTGTTTGCATTGTTTGTGCCGAGGCTCCACCGAGTGGACCCACTATGGCTTTTTGGCTTTGGGCTTTGGGCTTTGGCTTATCCCAACTACCCAACACTCGCTACTATTCTTGTTCTTCAAGTTTTTGTTCTTGTTGCATAGAGGTCGCTGTGTGTTTGCAACCTTTTCGTGTTCATGACATAGACCATTCGTATCCGCTTACCTGTCGTGCATAATTCTGTGGCTGATCCCGCCATATTCGAAACCCTGAGCCCTGCATCTCTTGCATGTGATCATGGCTCATCAGCGTCGCCAAGTACAGGAGAACCAGAAGATCGTGGAGACAAGTAGTCAAGATACGACATTTCCCGCAGTCGTGAAGAAGTTGCTGCACTGGGATGATTTGCCTCATTGGCAACGTGACAACCGCCATATTCATACGGGATATCGACCGGCCTCGTCTTCATTCTGGGTCTCGTTCCAATCGCTGGGCTACATCCACAACGAGACCGTCAACATTTACACTCATCTTTTACCGGGCGTACTAGCCGTACCTGCAGCCTACCAACTCTATCATGCCCTGACGCCTCGCTACCACACTGCCGATGATTCGGATATATTGGCCTTTGCCTGCTTTTTCGCGGGGGCTGCGTTCTGTCTCGGAATGTCAGCCACTTACCATACAATCTCGAACCATTCGCCTGCTGTGGCTCGATATGGCAATGCTCTTGATTACATTGGTATTGTGGGGCTTATTGTAGGAAGTTTTGTTCCTAGCGTGTTCTATGGTTTCTACTGCGTACCTCACCTCCAACACCGATACTGGACAATGATTTGTACCCTTGGCCTAGGATGTGTATGTGTTTCGGTTCTTCCACGCTTCCGAACACCTCGTTGGAGGCCATTCCGAGCGGCGATGTTTGTCGGGATGGGCCTGTCGGCAGTCTTCCCCGTTCTTCATGGCCTGTTCGTCTTCGGATTCGACCGTATGCACCAGCAAATCGGCCTCACCTGGCTTGTTCTTCAAGGTTTCCTGTACATTCTTGGTGCAGGTATCTATGCCGCTCGTGTACCGGAACGGTTCTGGCCTGGCCACTTTGACATCGTTGGCAGCTCGCATCAGATATTTCATGTATTGGTCGTCTGCGCAGCGGTGGCTCATCTGACTGGTCTTCTCAAAGCGTTTGACTATCGGCACAGTGGCACTGCCGAGATTTGTCAGATCGCACGCGGCTGAGTCTAGGTGGTGAAGATGAGGAGGGGAAGGCGAGGTTGGACAACATGCTCTTGGAATCTTTTAGAGGTAGCATGGAATGAAACATACACGCTGTAGTGTACGTTAGCGGGGGGGAACCTCTTTCCACGGCCTCTCCGGTCCCTGCTGACGATGGCCTACTTAGCGATGTGCAACAATGACCATTGAAGAAGCGGTGAATCGATCCCTTCTGGTAAATACGCAAATACCATGATTCCGGTCAGCCGAGTTCATCCTAAGACGTCGAGTTTTTTCACATGGCGCACCATCTCCTACTATACGTATCATTGGCTAGGCCTAGCCGACTTGTCAGCACCGTGAGTTCGTGGAGAGTGAAAGTTAACGCCCAGCCATGACTTCACGATGTTGCATCCGGGTGTGCGACTTGAGAGGACCCCTATGTGAATCCAGGGACTCTGCCGTGCCGTCACGAGCAATGCTCCGGAATAGCAACAGCTCAGCTAAGTCTGTCCGGGTCGGATCAGACTGCAGCATGGGGGGGAAATCCGGCTGGGGGTAGAGAGAGCCCTTTTCAATGTGCTAGTTGGTATCCCATGCGAGGTTGATCAGATGGAAGCATCTGGGGTTTCACAGCGGCTGATCTCTTGATGCGGCTGCCGCCGGTACAGGAATCCCAATGCGAGTGTGACATTTTTCCCTGCGCTGGTTCTCTTCCATGAAGCTTGATTTTGGTTTTTTTTTTCGTGCGTTATATATACAAGAATAAGGGGAGAAGCCCCCAAAAGACAAACGAGTCTTGAGGAGGATGTTCGTGCTCTCTTTAGATGTGTGCTTCCTTTCCATTCAATCTCCTTTTTATATCGACTGTCGATCCTTCAAGTTACATCACCCCAATCTCCCCATTATCGAGGGACCCAGCACATTCTCGCCGATCTCGATGCTCGCCGAGACCAGCGGCAGTCCGTATGCTGGGGGTGACGCACCAAAACTCCGAACCGCATGCGAGAATTGTAGGCAGTCCAAAGTCAAATGCAACCTGTCCGGCAAAAACGTTTGCACCCGGTGTCTACGCCATGGCCTACAATGCCAGTACGGCTTCGCTAACCGGTCTGGTAAACCGAAGGGTAGCAAAAATCGAGCCACGCTCCGGAAGCTAGGCCAGCTCCAAGAAGACAAGCCCCCGATGCGTGGGTTCCGAGGCAGTCGACTCGTCCCTCCTGTCCCCATGCCTGATCGAGACCCTATGTCAGCGACGGGCTATTCAGCCCATGTTACCGACCCAATGTTAGATGACGAGGTAAGCCCTGTGCGCAATATTGGCGCTACTCATGCTGAATTTTACAGGTTTACCTGATCTCAGCTCCGCCAGGAATATGGGAGAGCCCACGGAGCTTCGGCAACGGTGTGGTATTGGAAACACCCATCTGCCCATCGCAGTTGACAGCAGTGGATGACTCGCCTTTTACCGATCTTGTGGATTCCTGCCCTCCCCTCCCCATCGGTTTGGGCTACCCGCACACACCAAGAACACCGAGCTTTCTTTCCTCGGATAATTTAACAGATGGAATGTCGAGTCCACCATTCGGCGGGTCGGTGTCGTCTCCTTTTCAAAGTGCGCCTTGTGAGTGTATTGATATGCAGCTCTTCCACATGAACAGGTTGAATCACCTACTTGCCGATACGATGCCTCTTCGATTTGATCACAGCCTCCAGACGATTAAAGCTACATTCTGCGCATGTCAGGTGTTCTTACAATGTAGTAAATGTGCTAAGGATAATGCAAATTTACTCCTGGTCATTTCGGTACTTAATTTGACCCTGCAACTATTCGAGTATTGGATATCGCGCGAGACCTCGCGGATCCCGCGAGCGGAATTTGGAGTTGATATCCGATACGGGTACTATGAGGTCTGCCAGGATGAAAACCGACGAATTCGTACTTTTTTACTCCAAGGCTTACTGTTTCAATGCCGAGAAACGTTATCCATGTTGACGGCGGCGATCAACACTGCGTGCCTTGATGGGCCAAAGCTTGCCGACAACGACATTACGGTCGATTCCAAATTGCTTACTGGAGACCCGCAAAGCATGACCTGGCCATCTACGAGCTCATGTATGCCAGTTATAGATTCAGATCTTCTAAACAATAGCGGTGGGAACATCTGTCTTCTCCCCATAATCGCCGGCTATGAAGCTAAGGTGGAATCTTTGTTGCTATCGATCTCGTCAAACGAATGTATCTGTGAAGCCAAGGCTACGATGCGAGATGATTATATTTAGCATGGGTGTGTACAGATGGAGGAACCTGGCGGAGGTCATATTTTGTTTTTGTTATCGTTTTCCTCTCTTTTCTTGTAATCTAGGGGAGAGGGTTCTTTTGTTGCGTAGATAAGATTCCCAGCAGCTCGAGAGTAAACGCGGATCGGCTAAATCGAGAGGAAGCAAATTGAATAAATAGGCTACACCGGTTACTTGAGGGACTGCATTATTGATTTTTTTTATTAGAATTCATGTCCCTTTGCCCCTTAGTCTTAACTCCGTCGTTGTTAGTAGCTCCAGCCAACCCCACACTTTCGGTCCGCGGCGAGCCTCGGCATTTCTGATCGCCGAGCAATGCCATTGCCAGGTGTATAAGGTCAGCCCCGCTTCCCTCTTCCCTCTTCACCAACTCTTTGTTCATCCCAAAACACTATGGCTCCTTCCGATCGTCTTAATCAGGTCAACAAGCACCTCAATTATCCGGCCGGCATGCTTGCCGGCCAGGTTGCCATCATCACTGGTGCTGGCCAGGGTATTGGTGCCGAGGCTGCGCGGCTGTTTGCGAACGAAGGCGCCAAGGTCGTGGTCGCTGATATTGACAGCAGTAAGTGAGATCTCTATATATTTATATATATTATGTCATATGTACTAATCTCAGATATCATCAATTAGACAAGGCCAACACGGTGGCTGACGCCATCAATGCCGCCGAATCAGGCCGCGCTCTCGCTGTGGTCGGTGATATCACGGATGCCAACTACATCAATGAATTGGTGAAGCGCACTGCGGAGTTTGGCGGTGGCAAGATTCATATCATTGTGAACAACGCTGGGTTCACCTGGGACGGGGTCATTCACAAGGTGTGTCAGCGTTTTCTCTCTCTTTTTCTTTTGAACCTAGAAGATGCTGGTTGATGATATCCTCGTTCTAACCACGATCTTCCTCAACTTTACCGTGAAAACTCACTGACTGATCATGTAATCACCAGATGACCGATAAGCAATGGGAGACCATGCTCGCTGTGCATAACACGGCTCCCTTCCGCCTGGTACGAGCGGCGGCGCCCTACTTCCGTGTCAAGGACCAGGAGCCGCGTGTGATTATCAATATCAGCAGTACGAGTGGTATCCATGGCAATGCGTAAGTTTGCTTTTTCGTGTTCTGTTGAACACGGCTACCATCCTTCCCTTCTGTCTCCTTTTCCATCGCATTATCTATTACTACACAGACATCTACATATACCCAGTTGAAATTGCACTTATACACAGCTGCCTACAACAGCGACTAACATCACATAGTGGACAAGCCAACTACGCCGTCGGCAAAGCTGGTGTCGTTGGCCTTACCCGCACTATCGCAAAGGAATGGGGCCCTGCTTTCGGCGTGCGCTCTAACACCATCGCTTTTGGCTATGTGACCACTC